ATGCTAATTTGGGATTTGTTTGTCATGGCTAGCCCACGTTTGGGCTCATTGAGGTGTGAGAAGTCTTGCAAAACTACCATTCATTTTTTTAAATTTAGAAGTGAAACATTATCTTTTGTTTTCCATTTCAGATAAATGAGAAAATAAGGCCATTAGACCTCAGAATAACAAATTTAGAAAACAAGTATGTTGATGTGATTGATGATGCTTGCACATTTGTATTACTTGGTGTAATTTACGGTTTTAAAATTGTTGATGTTTTGTTTTGTTTTGTTAATGAATGTCTGTGGACATCTATAGCAAGCAGGGTGCATGGGGGCAAAGGGGCTTGATCATGCTCCCTTTTTGTCTGAAAAAGCAGCCACTATTTTTTTTATGGAGTTATCTGTAAAATCCATCCTCTTGGTCCTTATGTTTATCCTGTCTAACTTAACAAGTTTATAGTACCCAAATAAATATCAATAATAGCTGTTTTAAGCAACATTTATGGACACAGAATTATGCTCTCAATGTTTTTAACCAATGAGCAAATAGTATCTATGTACTTGGCAAGTCTCCAGGCCCCCCTCTTTCCCTAAGTGTTTGAATCTCAGGGCTCAAAAAAACTTGAATACCAGCTTGTCCTTTGGGCAAGCAGCAGTCACATGTTGCTTGCACTGAAGGGTCTCTTCTTGCTTACATGTATTTAACAATTGCCCACAAGATTCCATAGTCTACACTCTTATAGACAATGACGTCATAAAAATGTTCAAAACTCAAGTGGAACCACGAGCCGCCAGCAAGTGGTTTCACTGCAAAGTTTTGAACATTTTATGGCGTCATTTCTATGGCCTATAAGAGTGTAGACCATGGAAAAGTTGTGGTTGATTTGTTTTTTACAGTAACATTTATTTTTTTACAAAAAATAAAAAGCAAAACAACCAGCACTGTGTGACGTGTTATGTCATTTCCATAGCTTCTTGACCAATCAGCGCACAAGGATTTGCTCAGTTATTGTAAAAATCCCAGTTAATGATTTTGTGAGAGGATTACTTGCCTAGACGTCCTTGCCCATGGCAAGTAAGCTTTAAAATTTACTTGCCCAGCAAGAAAATCTACATCCCACACTACCAGATGGGAATTTTTTTTGAGTCCTGCTCCTCTGCATGAATATGAATACCTCTCTATTATGGACAGTTATTTTTGGTTTCTTAAAATTCAAGACTTTATACCAGCCTTTTGTTTATAAATGTGGACACCGTCTATATACCTCCTCATTGCAAACAGTTCCAAACAGTCCATCTCAGTAATAAAAATCAGTGTTTTGCAACAGCTCTAGTTACTTCCAAATTGCGTTTACCACTGCATGTACATGTAAACCTCATTGTAGCCTACATTTGTTTATACAGTTTTGTACTGGCAATAAGGGTGAATGCTAAAAAATTATGTAGACTATAGCTAATCTACATGTAACTTAATATGTATGTTGGTTTTTGTTCACAAACAGGGATAGAAAATACCCTCCAGTAAAATATTTAGCAGAGAAAGATCGAAAAAGAATTCTGGTGAGTCCAACTTTGAGTGTGTGTTTATTTTAAATTTCTAGATTGAAGTAATGTCCAGTGTGTAAATAAAGTCAGTTTTATAGCTTGCCATTTGGCACTAGCCCAAAAGTCATTTCAACAAGCTCTCAAAAATTTTTGATGAGCATTGATTACAGATCTTCTGTTATTTGAATTCCCCAAAAAACTTCACTTTCCCGTCAGGCAAGAATTCATTGCCTAATAGCAAAATCAACTATCCCCAGGCTATATATAGGACTCTACTTTCTTGGTACTCTGAAATGTCATTTACATATTTTTATAAATTTACAAGGTACATTGTATAAGTCAGAACTTTACTTTTTAATTTTTGCTGTGTAAATTAAAGATTTTAGGTTGTCATAACTTTTTAGATTACAGGTGGCGCAGGATTTGTGGGATCCCACCTTGCTGATGCTTTGGTGATGGCAGGACATGAGGTACCATCTTTCATAAACCAGTAATAAAAAGCTAGTGCACACAAGTGGTTGGGTGGGAGGGGGAGGGGAGTACTCCTATATATACGGGGAGGCTCTGTTTAAAAGGGGTACCTTTTTAGGCTTTATGTACCATAAATCCCCTGCTAAGCCCCCCCCCCTAAGCCCTCCCTTTTCAGAGAAAGTAAGTTAATAAGCCCCCCTCCCCTCCTCCTTATTATTTTTCACTGATAAATAGACTTTATTAATCAATTACAGTGTATGACTGTAAAACTTTGTATGGACTGATCCAGGATGTTTTTGTCCCTTGCATTTCGGCTGCATAACCTCCAACCGTTGTTTTCCACTTTACATCCTAGTTTTTTATGGATACCTGATACCATTGTCTTTGCTAAGTTAAATATCCCCCCTCAAAAGTGTTTGAAATAAATAAGGCCGGGGGTGGAGGAGGGGGGTGGGCTTGATTTATGGTATATGAAAGGGTAGAGAATTTCGTCATTTTGGTCCATGAAAAGGCCCTAAAGGCCTAACATGCATTTTATGAAAAAGTCAAGAAAAACGTTCTGGTTTGAGGTTTATGCACATCTTAAAGAGAGTGCAATTACAGCAGTTAAAGGGATGTGAAGGTTTAAACTAGGTATTTGAAAGGGGTGCCATTTGCCAATAGAAGATATGCAATTTGTGCCAACAGTGGTATATGAAAGCAGAAATTGGACCTTGCGCAAAACCTCCCCATATAAAACTTTGTTGAGTACCCCCCTGATAATCAGAAGGGAGACTAATGTTCATGGTAGAAATGAAAGGCACAGATTGATTATGCACAAATGTATAATTAAAGTGGAATAGCCATTGTCATTATCATTGTCATCATCACTGACATCATGCTACAGATCACTGGACTAAATGTAGACCACAAGCCCTAGGATTTCATGGTAACGATTGTTTCAGAGATCGTGTCGTTACCATGATCTTAAAACAACAGAACTGAAAAAAGTTTCCCAGTGACATATCCTGATATATTCAGACTGAGGGATCAAAATACACAAATATAGTATTTTTCCACTCAGATTCTTAACTAGTAGAGCAATTCTTAAAGACTCAGCTTGTGTAAAAACGAAATTTTAAAAAACGTTTGCGTTTTTCTATTGTCCTCCATCTTGAATGGTTCCCAAAGTGCATTGCACACCAGGTGTCCATCTTATAGAGGTGTCTGTTAAGAGAGGGTTGACTGTAACTAGAAGTAAAACAGTTGCTTTATTGTTAATTTCAGGTAACAGTTGTAGATAACTTTTTCACAGGAAGGAAGAGAAATATTGAACACTGGTAGGAATAAATCTTAAACATTGCAATGCACTAAGAATTGAGTTTCAAGTTTAGTGTGTATAATCTAGTCAGATGAAGCTTGCAGTAAGTGCATATTAGATTATTTTGCTGACTTGTTTTGCAGGATTGGGCATGAGAACTTTGACCTTTTAAATCATGATGTAGTTGAACCTCTTTTATTAGAAGGTGGGTGACTTTAACATGATTTGTATGTGATTTATGCACTCCCTGTAGCCATTCATAAGGTGCAATGTTTTGATTAGCTGTCTTCTGAGCATTCTTCCTGATCCAGCTGTGTTCATGTTATTGTAAAGAATGACAGTTAGTGGTAAAGTAACTGCCAACTTTTTCAAGCATTTTAAGTATTTCTTCTTTGACTGATTAATACAGGATATCTGTTCTTCTGCTGACGTTAATAATGGCTTTAAGCTGTGGCTATTTTCTTGATGACAGGTTTTTATAGCAAAGAATAAAGTATTGAAAACACACTTAATTTTTATATAGCTGTCAGTGTGAACCCAAAAAGGTCAGCTACATGTATGTTTTATAATCACAATGCAAATTAACTAAGTTAATTATATTGTGTTTTTTTTGTAAATATTAAATTTTATCACTTACTGTCTTTCGACATTTTAACCTCTTTATTAATCAATGCAACTGGGTCACTAGAAATTATTATTTAAAGTTCAGCTGTTTCACACTCCTAATTATACTTAGTTAGCCTTCAAGTCTACCTTTTATAGATCAGGTATATGTTACAGGTCAAAATTGAATTCAGGTAAGAACATCAGAGCCTAAAGTAGGTTGATTCTCAATTTCCTATGACTCCTACAGCCCTGTAGCCCTACATAAATTTGTAACTGATCATGAATAACGTCTGATCTTAAACGTCTAGGAGACAAATTAAGGATTGAGAATCAACCTAGGTTAAAATTTTTACCTGAACATAATCTTGACCTGCAACTCACATTTTTTGACTAGCAGCAAATACAGAGGGCTCACACACCCAAAATACACTTTGTTTTAACTGTGTGATATGGTAATTGTTTTTATGATGTTATTCTCACAGTTGATCAGATTTATCATCTGGCTTCACCAGCATCACCTCCTAATTACATGTACAATCCTATAAAGGTAAAACAACTCTCCACAATCCTTTGAATCTTTAGTGAAAAAATGTAGGAAAGGGCACTTGAGAGAAGTAACCTAAATTTGCAAACTTTTCTGGGGGAGAAAGCTTTGACACCCTCCTAGAGGCTTGCATGTTCAGGACTGGTACTACATGTAACAGCTTTGCAGCTCAAAAGAGTCTCCTTATTTTCTTTCAAAGGGGATTGGAATGTCTGCCAGTTCATCCCTTGCTGACTCTAGCATGGTGGTTTTGAGCCATCTGAATGAGTTCATGTAGCTGCTAAGAGCCTGTTAGATAAATGATCACTAATGTTGTGATTGAACTAGACGTATTCACACTGCAGTTTACCTTGTTTTAGTGCTAAAGGTATCATGTGCACCATCCAAAAATAGTACAGTATATAGGTAGTGATTTTCTTGTTTTTCCATTTTTGCAGACAATCAAGACAAACACAATTGGAACCCTTAATATGCTTGGTGAGATTTTTATTTTTTAGTCATGTTTATGCCAGTACGTCCACTGCACTAGACTGTTGCTGGTACTTGCATTCCCACTTTCAGCTGACATGCATCAGTAGAATAAGCAGTCATCAAGATTTTATGCTTGTTAGCTTACTGTCTGCAGGCAGTGTCCTGTTCTTGGGAAATGGGAAATAACTCATAATTTTGTGTTTTCATTTGAAGGACTTGCTAAGAGGGTGCACGCCAGACTTTTATTGGCTTCAACATCAGAAGTGTATGGAGGTTAGTTTATGTTAAAAATAAAGAATATTGTAATTAGATTTTAATTATGATTACTAGTAAAGTAGTTTAAAATTAATAACTCTAGCTTTGCTGTCAAACCAACAAAACTGAGAACACTTGAAATATTTCAGGAATGTTTATTGTGGGGTGACCAATCACAGCAAAGATCATGACACACGAGCAAGCCACAAAACCACAAACTAATTAACGTTCTTGCAGAATGCTTGTGGTTTAGTTTTCTCAGGAATGATTAGCTTTTTTCTAGCAACACAGTAACATTCCAGTAACATTTCTGGTGTTCACGGTTTCATTGTGTTGACATTAACGGCGCATCACTGCACTCAGACATGCTCTAATACGACTGAACCTCCATTAATCGGCCACTCTCAGGGTACTGGCAAGTTGTGGCTTAATAGAAGAGGCCGCTTCATCGTATTCTTGAAATAAAGGCAAACTACACTGCTATTTAAGAGGCGACAACAGTGGGAGAACTCTCGTTGGGAAGGCCAAAATGTGGCCATAGCTGCTTAATAGAGGTTTAAGATCCCATTTGTTTCTACAATTATTTGAGGACTTTGATTACTGGCTGCTTAATAGAAGGTAGTGGCTTAATAAGTAACTATAAGTGGCTGCTGAATGCAAGTTCAACTGTAATAAAATTGTGACGTTGTCCATGTGTCTTTTATAAGGTAATATTTATCACAAACAGACAATGATTAATTGATTTTATTGTAAGTTTATCAACCTCATTAATTATTGAAATGGTTACACAACCAAATTTCAAATTTGGACGTACACTAGTACTGTAGGAGTGCACAACACTGAACTGTGTGCCTGGGTCTTAACAGTGTAACTTTTAATAAGGTTTTCTTTTACACATTGTCACTCTTTAGACATTGCCATTATTTAATTCTTTATAGTTAACCAACTATAGTTTACCGAATTTGAAAGACAGGTGCCAAAGTAATTACACTTGATGCCAGTTGTACTAAAGGGACAGCAGAAGGCTCAGTAGCTTAGTTTTTTTATAGACTGAGGTGAAAAGAGTGGAAGATTTCACATGTTTTGCAAAGAGAAAATAGCTGATAATTTCTGCATAAATGACATAGAAAGAATTATAGCAAAACACTCTCTGCTGATGACAAATTGTATTAGAGCCAGGAATATTTGCCAGACCAAAAACCTATTGACCAGCACCCTTCCAAACCTCTTATTTCATTGGTCACTTTAACCTGCACTACCTATTGCTTTCAGGGATAGGGGCATTGTTATCCCCATTGTTTCCCCAGCCAATCACAAACCTTGTTTGGAATCGGTGCAGGTTGACCTCTAAAAACATCCCTTTATATCCTACATTTGCCAAGGAAAAGGGGAAATAATGAAGACAGGAAGTCCCCACCAATCGAATCGAAGCAGGCATGATTGAATAATGAAGCAATTATTGGATTTAGTAGCTTTCCTATGATATGAAGAATTAAGGACGAGGTGTATAATACATGTAGCCTTCTCGATCTGCATATATCTTCATATCATACTCAGCCTCATGCAATAATTGCTAATAATCAAGTGTTCCATGCAATAAAAACTTGCACACTGTGCCTACTGTTTTATTTATTTATTTGTTTGTTTTTTTGTTTTTACATTTACATGGTCGTCTTTGTGGTTTCTAGATCCAGAGGTAGGTTTACAATAATTATGTTGTATCTAATCTGTAGCTTTGTTTTATACTCTAGTTTGTTTCAGTTGAAACACTTGAGAAGAATAACTGCCCAATTTTGTGACAAGTTATTTTGTTTTCTTGCCAGTTGTAGAAAATTTCAGTTTCACACCATACTGGTCACTGAACTCATCGACACTGCTAGATGTAACAACAAAAAAGTTGAATACAAAGGCAATAATTTTTAAGTTTTATTATAAACAAGCAAACATCTGCAAGCATTGTTTGTCATTAACAATTCAATTGTGGCAATTTGTGTGGCTTACTCATAATTATTTCTTTTCTATCTTAGAAACATCCACAGCGAGAAGATTATTGGGGCCATGTTAATCCAATTGGACCTCGAGCATGTTATGACGAAGGGAAACGTGTTGCAGAGACTATGTGCTATGCATATGCCAAACAGGTACCTAAAAGAACATAGAGTATTTCTCACAGACAGGTACCTAACAGGACATAGAACACTACTTATGCATGACTAACTGCTCTTCAGGGGTTTCCTTTTGTGTAACTTTCAAGACTTTTGGATTAAAGAAATTCATTCGGGTTCAATTTTTGTCTTTTATGGTAATATTTTGTACTTTTTATGAAGATGGCAACAAAGTCTTTGCTCTTTGCTCTCTGTTAATGCTAGGAACATGTGGAAGTTCGTGTGGCTAGGATATTCAACACATTTGGACCAAGAATGCATATGAATGATGGTAATTATATCGTGCATCACAGTATTTCTGTTGGTTATAGTCCGTGAGTTAACAATAATCATTGACGGATTCCGAAAATGGACAATTCAGTCAGAGGCCTTAACTTGGGAATATTTGTACACTTTTCCTCTAAAATCTCGTAGAGATTATACTCCTTTAATGATTTTTAGAATATTGCTAATGAAGATAAATGGGAGGGGAAAAGAAAAGAAAAGGATACTTAAGTTTTGAAGTGACTGGAAAATGAGAAATTGAAGTGAACAATTAGTAGACAAAGATCAGATACTCCTGATTACAGTTGTAACTTGTTTGTATACCCTTTTCTTCTCCACTCTCTTTCATTCTCAATTTAGCCTTCCCCACCCTTAAAAAAAAACCAACATACGTGAATTTTGTTTCGTTTTTTATTTTTTCTACATAGGTCGTGTTGTGAGCAATTTTATCATGCAGGCTCTGGAGGGCAAACCTTTAACTGTAAGTTAAAACAACAATCAAACAAGCATGATAAGACTTATCTTTTTAGAACTGTATATTGGTGATCAATTTTATATTCAGTTCTTACTTGCATGCATAGACCTGCATATATATTCTTTTTATTGTTATTTTTTTAAATGCATTATCTTTTGTTTGTTTCTTGTAAAGTGATGCAGTTGTAATGTGCAGCTGATCATTCTCATGTTAAGTTGCACACAATAAGTTCATAAATTATTATTATTATTATTATTATTATTATTATTATTATCATTATTATTATAGTGTTTGTTTGCCAGTAAAACTGTATTTGTTCTAAAGTAAGTCATATGTCATTGTCTTTTAAAGCTTTATATCTTTTGTAATAAGAGTGGATATTTTTAGCATACTCAGAGCAATTGTTGGAGATCCCTATTAAAGGCGAGTGGGCTCCCTGGATAAATATTATTATTATTATTGATAGGATCTCTTGTTTATGTTATTTGTGGATCAATTTAGACAAGTGACTTTGTGCAGTGTCCTTATTTTGATAGCGAGAGCCAGTCTCGATAAATTTTCTCACTAGGTAGAAAAATTAGACATTACCGTCAGATGGAAAAACTTATTGTTAGTTTGTGGTTGGTTGGATTGCCATTCATGATTGGCTGGCATGGAGTCACGTGAGAACTTGTTGGATTGTCATTCATGATTGGCCAGTGTGGAGTCACGTGAGAACTTGTTAAAGTCCCTAAGGTTCGAGATATGTCCAGAAATGCACGCATTGGCGAAAATGGCAGAAATGGCAATTAATCGCCAAAATCGCCAAACTATAAACAAAAATTCAAATGAGATGGCAAAGGGGCCCTTTGGAAAGGGCGAAAATGGCAGAAATGGCGCTTAATCGCCAAAATCGCCAAACTGTAAACAGAAATTCAAATGAGATGGCAAAGGGGTCCTTTGAAAGTGGCGATTTCGCGAAAATGGCGATTTGGCGAAAATGGCAGAAATGGCAATTAATCGCCAAAATCGCCAAACTATAAACAAAAATTCAAATGAGATGGCAAAGGGGCCCTTTGCAAAGTGGCGATTTCGCGAAAAATGGCGATTTTAAGCGAAAATGGCAGAAATGGCAATTAATCGCCAAAATCGCCAAACTATAAACAAAATTCAAATGAGATGGCAAAGGGGCCCTTTGAAAGTGGCGATTTCGCGAAAATGGCGTGTTTGGCGAAAATGGCAGAAATGGCGCTTAATCGCCAAAATCGCCAAACTGTAAACAGAAATTCAAATGAGATGGCAAAGGGTCCTTTGAAAGTGGCGATTTCGCTAAAATGGCGTGTTTGGCGAAAAATGGCAGAAATGGCAATTAATCGCCAAAATCGCCAAACTATAAACAAAAATTCAAATGAGATGGCAAAGGGGCCCTTTGCAAAGTGGCGATTTCGCGAAAATGGCGATTTGGCGAAAATGGCAGAAATGGCAATTAATCGCCAAAATCGCCAAACTATAAACAAAATTCAAATGAGATGGCAAAGGGCCCTTTGGAAAGTGGCGATTTCGGCGAAAATGGCGTATTTGGCGAAAAATGGCAGAAATGGCAATTAATCACCAAAATCGCCAAACTATAGACAAAAATTCAAATGAGATGGCAAAGGGGCCCTTTGCAAAGTGGCGATTTCAGCGAAAATGGCGTATTTGGCGAAAATGGCAGAAATGGCAATTAATCGCCAAAATCGCCAAACTGTAAACAAAAATTCAAATGAGATGGCAAAGGGGCCCTTTGGAAAGTGGCGATTTCGGCGAAAATGGCGTATTTGGCGAAAATGGCAGAAATGGCGCTTAATCGCCAAAATTGCCAAACTGTAAACAAAAATTCAAATGAGATGGCAAAGGGGCCCTTTGGAAAGTGAGGATTTTGGCGAAAATGGCGTGCACTAATTCTGTATCTTTTCATCAACCACAAATAAAAAAAAAATATAGAGTGCATGTTGGCCTCGTTCTTAAAACGTGTTTTGGCAGAAACGGCAATTACTCGATGAAATACCTAATTTGTCAAGACAAATTGAAATGACATAGCAAAGGGTCCCTTTTGAAATGGCTATTAATTGCCAAATAGTTAACCACATATTAATATAAAAATGTTTCCAATAGTATAATTGTATACTAATAATGACACTAAGTGTCATTAATCTGTTTTTAATGCTTTTACCTTTAATTGATAACCTCTTGTGATTTGAAATTCGTCCCACACAAGAGTGTTCGGTCGGGAATTACCACTTATAACTAATTTCTTGCTCAATTCAAATCGAATGGCCAACGAGTTGTATTCAATTATCAGTAAATGGTAATCTTCGTAATGTTCATGGCAACTTTCTTACCAAAAATCCAAGATAGGTATCCTTAATTTTCCAGGCTTGTAGACATTGTTTGAATAGCGACAGTTCAACATTATATGTTATGAGGAATCCAGGTTGGTTCTTGGCTACGCATTCAGATAATTAGATGGTCCGTATTGCCTTGTATATCCATCCTGTTTGTTATAATGGCGTTCAATCGTACAAGTATATATAAACGAGCTGGTTCATTGCAGTTTCACAGAACATGAACGTATAAGGTTTAGTAGTTGTTATACAGACGCGGCGACCATGTTGAAATAGTCGATTTTGGATAACTACTCTATGTAAGTAGAAACGATTAGTGTCATTCCCAGCCGACTTTGGTGGTCACTCTATGTTTATAGCGCCTCTATGTAAGCAAAACGATTAATGTCGTTCACAGGGACTCTCAGGCAATTGTTAAAATAGAAGGTAAAAAGGCCGGGTGACGTGTTTCGACGAGCATTAGCATTAGCAATTTAATGGAAACATATTGTACTGAGAATTGGTTTGGTGGTCTCTGCGCAAAAAAACAATACATTTTCTAAATTTCTGGCCCCGCCTCATAAAGCAATAATGGGACACATTTTTGAAGAACGAGACAAACATGTACACTCTCTTTTTATATATCTAGTTGATGAAAAGATACAGAATTAGTTTGAATGGGATATGTTTTATGAAAGAGACAAACAAGTTATTGCTTTGATCCAATGTTTATGTTCAATAAATGCGGTAAGTATTGGGCACAAGTGACATTTCGTGCAGGTTTACATAAAGTGGAAATAAGCGAAATCACACATTTCAAAATGGCGCACGCAAGCTGCTGGACATTTCGGCTTTCGTTACTTTTAGGGGACCGTTTCTCTAAAGAGCAAAGCAAGTAAGTGCGAGAAGAAAGTGAAGAGTTTAAAACGACGGAAGAAGATAATGTGTATAGTGGAGAACCAAAAAAGAATGAAGGGCACACACTAGCTGGTTATCGTGAAAGCATCTTTTAGCCAGGAACCATGCGTTTCGCAATCGCTTTTGATTTAAGGCTGCCTCACAATTTAATGGAACCAATGTGAAGAGAATTGTTTCGGCTTTCGTTACTTTTAGGGGACCGTTTCTCTAAAGAGCAAAGCAAGTAAGTGCGAGAAGAAAGTGAAGAGTTTAAAACGACGGAAGAAGATAATGTGTATAGTGGAGAACCAAAAAAGAATGAAGGGCACACACTAGCTGGTTATCGTGAAAGCATCTTTTAGCCAGGAACCATGCGTTTCGCAATCGCTTTTGATTTAAGGCTGCCTCACAATTTAATGGAACCAATGTGAAGAGAATTGTAACCAGTGAGGATTGTTAAGGTCTACATCGAACCTCAAAAGTTAGAGTGTCCATGGCAAGGAATTATTATGATTTCAAGGACTTGGTAGTTCTCTCCTCGAGTAATTAGTGGACTTGTAAGTCTTTGAAAGGAATGAACCATACAAAAGCAAATGATGCTAGTGTGATATTTCAGCGCATCACATCACTTTTGGTAAGTCAAGCGACATCGAAAGTAAGGAAATGTTTACTTAACCTGTGAAGTACATGGCACAAATACATATTAGCTTAACTGAAACGACTTGCATTTGTTGTTTTCAGATATATTTGATTCAGTTGTATTTGATAAAATAATGTTGTTTGACAGTTAGGTAAAGCTGTTTTGTCATATATTTGATTCAGTTGTATTTGATAAATGTTGCCTCACAGTTATTGGGGCCTCTTATTAGGCAAGTAATTTGAACTTTTTTTTAGTACTGTTGCCTCACAGTTATAAGGACCTCTTTAGTTATCTACTTTGAAGGGGCCACTTTTGGCATCCAATTTGAATATTTTGCCACATATCGCCAGCCCTCTGGCGATTTTTGCCAAAATTGCCAATTTCGCCAAAATCGCCATTTTCGCCAAAATCGCCAGCCTCCAAGGGGCCACTTTTGGCATCCAATTCAAATCGCCAGAGGCTGGTGATTTTTCGCCAGTTTCACCATTTTCACCATTGCATGCATGGCGATTTTTGCCAAAATTGCCAATTTCGCCAAAATCGCCAGCCTCCACGGGGCCACTTTTGGCATCCAATTCAAATTGCCAGAGGCTGGTGATTTTTCGCCATTTTCGCCATGGCATGCATGGCAATTTTTGCCAAAATCGCCAATTTCGCCAAAATCGCCATTTTTGCCAAAATCGCCAGCCTCCAAGGGGCCACTTTTGGCATCCAATTCAAATCGCCAGCAGCTGGCGATTTTTCGCCAGTTTCGCCATTTTCGCCATTGCATGCATTTCTGGACATAAGTGTAAGGTTCAGTTGTTGGTGAGGTGCAGAAAACAATTATTTTAATCGTTTTCTCCATTTCACGAACAACTGATCTTTAAAAATATCACCACCGTGGATGAGATATCGTCGGGTAACGGGCACCCGTTTTGCGAAAATCCTATGCAGCCAAATTAGGGGACCTGCAAGAAAGTACTGCACGAGAACATAAAATCACCTTGTGTAGAATTGTAAAGGCCTTTCATACCGGAGAGGGGTGGAGGGGGCTTTGAGATTTCCCTCACAGCAAGTAATGCTGGAATCTTGTTTCTCTTGCTAATTAGATTTAGTTTAATAACCGCCAAATAAACAAAGAGAAATAGGACAGCGCGATGAGATTCGTGATGTTCTGTTGTCACTTTCTGTTTTATCCAGGTTTATGGAAGTGGGAAACAGACAAGATCATTCCAGTATATCAGGTGTGTGTTCTAATTATTATTGTCAGGCAAAGTGTACTCTTTCATTGTGAACTTAAATTCAGAAACCTTTACACAATGCGCTACTGACCAAGCGAGGTCAAGATGGCTGGATTATGGCGATGTTCTTTTTTGAGTTTTTGTTGACTGAGATGAAGTTGAGGTCAATATAAAATCGCAAAAAAGAACAAGACCAATATTCAGCCTTCTTGACTTAACAAGCTTGGTCAATAAGGATTTATTATATGGCTAAAAAGAGAACTTTTACTTGCGGTACCAACGCGGGAAATCCCGAGCGGGTAAGATGAGTTCATCTTGCCTGTTTGGGTAGCCAATCAGAATGTAGGATTGGCCTCATCTTGCTCACTCGCAGATTCATCCATATAATAGAGACATTAATTGACTTAACACGTTTGTTAACATTTCCCCAAGCTCGATTTCATGCATTCTGGGATTTTAATTACGTATCGCACTAATAATTAATGTGCATTCGTTGCCAGACTCTCAGTCTTGTTTTATCTCTGTCCTCATACCTCTCCCCCTTTTTTCATTTTTAGTGATCTTGTAAATGGCCTTATACTTCTAATGAACAGTAACTTCTCCGAGCCTGTTAACATAGTAAGTATAAAGTGGATTGTGATCGCCACGTGCTACAGGACTTACGAACACGTGACCGCTCAATTTGCTATTACTCACCCTATTATTACGGACAGAGTGTGAAGGCGTTAAGCCGGTTATCTAAGTTTTTAACCCAGGAAAATCGTGGACTAATTCACTTTTATAAATTTGCCCGTCAATTCTGTTCGGCACACAAAGCTAAAACTCAAACTATTCTCTGACTATAGGAACGAACAATTTTAAAACTAACAGCTCGTCCTAAGATTTTGTAGCAAATGACTTTCAGACAAACGTCTCCCACTTCCACCACATCTCAGTTATTAGTGATACAAAATGATGACGTACGTACTTAAACGAACTGTCTCCTCCACAGAGGCCTCTTTGTGTCGTAGGGAGGCTGGGGAGAAGGGAAAAGAAAGCGCGCGGGGCACGATGGGAAGGGGAAGAGAGAGAGCTCCCGCATTTTCCCTCTTCCCATCGTCCTCCGCTCGCCTTCTATTTTTCGATTATTGTTCTTTCTATAGAGTGTTTTCACTCACTTGGCCACGCGTTTGCATAAGAAAAGAGTTCAACTCCTACAGGAATAGTTTGTGACACCAACATGGCCGCCGTTTCATTGTTTTGGGACACAAATATGGCTGCCGTGACGTCATGTGAAAACACTCTATTGGGATACCCAGCGAGTGTAATAAACCCTTTCACGGTTTTTTCAACTTTTGACATGGACAAGGTAGTTAAAATCCAGGGACACCACTGGAAAAAGCACCTTAAAATTAGTGAACTTGCCAAGTTTGAAAGTGATAATTATGTCCTAGGGGAGCGAAGATATAACGCCGCAAAGTTGAGAAAATTTACATACATTTGTATTTTGGGGAGCAATTTTGCCCTCCTCCCTCCCCTCCCCAACATACAAACGTCTGTAAATTATCGCAACTTTGGGGAACTAAATCTTCGACAGTTGTCAAAAAATAATTTTCAAACTTGGCGATTTTACTAATTTAACGGCGCTCTTCCCAGCAGGGTCAATTGATTGTCCCTAACTTGTCCATGTCAAAAGTTTAAAAAACGTGGAAAAGTCTGTTTATATCAAAGATGGTTGTTTTTAGGGGAACCCGTCAGAGCACACAATAATGGAGTTTGCAGAGATGATACGAGATGCTGTAGGTAAGCGGCGGACGAGTATTGAAAAACAAAAGTGAAAAAAAAGTAGTAGAGTTACCGTAAAATTCCGAAAATTAGCCCCGGGGCTTATATTTTTCAAAGGCCCCTTTTGAGGGGCGTATTTTTGGAGGGGCTTATGTACGGAGGGAAATTTGCGTTTAAAAATCGATTGGGCTAGCCTTGTAGTTGGAAGGAAATTTACCATTTTTTCTTTGTTTTACTTTGTATTTGAGGGCAGTTTTCCAAGTACAAGCCCCCCAGGGGGCTATATTTGGACGGGCGATTTAACGGAGGGTGTTTTGCGTCACGAGTTTGGGGGCTTACATTTGGAGGGGCTTATACATGGAGGGGCTTATTTTTGGAATTTTACGGTATATCACATGTCAGATGTTGCCGAAATGAGATAACAGTAATTAATCTAGTTTAGAAAAAGAAAGAAATCGTTGTCTTGTGTTCACGTCGTCCATACTTACTTAGGCCGGGAATCACCCCGAGCCAAACGTCCTCCATAAATGATAAAATAAGGACATTTTACTTCGCAGTCGTGCAGTGACGGCAAAGAAATGAACTAAAAAGTGTAGCGCACGTGCCGAGTTTTTTTTTGCTTATTTCAGGTGGGAAGACACCGATTTTAAACCTCGCAAAGATGGAGGATGATCCACAGAGACGTAAACCTGATATAACTCGCGCTAAAGTCATACTTGGATGGGAACCACAGGTAACTTTGATTAGTTCAAATCAAAGTTATAGTATTGTTTAGCAGCATTCAGAGACTCGTCGAGTTAATCGAAACCAACAGCAAAGAACGTGTTATTTGAATTGCAGTTCACGTACAAGTGAAGCCACAATAGAACGATTCCGTAGTTCAACGCTGTTGAATATATTGATGGAAAACTCTTGCTTTCTCTATCTTCTTTTAGGTTTCTCTGAATATAGGCCTCAACAGAACGATTGAATATTTTAGAAGGGAACTGGACAAATCGAAGAAGTCTAAGCTGGTTGACTTATAGCGTCAAGAATTATGAAGAAGTATTAAATGACAATTCACTACACAGAATTCGTGGAGCTGCAGAATTACGCTGGTGAAGTGCGTGCTGAAGAGAGAAATACGTGCATGCAAAACTAGATAGCTAATTTATTGGCATGCGTACTACGAAAATGTGACAAGGCTGAAAATGCCATTTTATGCTTAAAGCAACTTAACACTCATTTTTCAGTACTGTTTTGCTTCATTGTCTTTTTCAAGAAAATAATGGACAAAGATGGATGTGGCCCAAATAGCAACTTGTTGCAACGGCAGCTTCCATAAAAGCTGTGTTTTTTTTATTTTTTCAACGTGTAGCGCTTTGTTTGCTTTTCAATGTAAATTAAGAGGAAGAAAAGAGAGTTACCCTGAGGAATCTACAGTTCGGCATTTTATCTTTGTTAAATCGCTGTAAAATCGCAGCAACATTTGCTACCAGAAGCGCAACAAGGAGTAGCACGAAAGGGTAAATTATACTGGGCACTAAAGAAAAGTGCCTGTATCAGTTGAATGACCATATATTTTCAAAGAATTATCTATGAATATAGAAAATGTTTAAAGCGTGATATTATTTACACATTTTAAAACACTTACTAGAACTAAAGAAATGCGTACTTTAGGTTTATTTTAAAACAGACAAGTTGTTTTCATTCCAGACTTGTTGGCCCAGTTCGTAATGCTCTGGTTCACCCGCTGAGTGGGAGTTTGATAAAGTCAGATCGTAATCCTGGGTCTTAAAAAATAAACGGTAAAACTATGATGGCTGTGATTTGTGACGACGAAAAAAGCGAGAAATCCGAAAGTGAATAATAATAATAATAATAATAATAATAATAATAATAATAATAATAACAATAACAATAATAATAATAATAATAAATAAAGTATAGCTTCTTAAAAAGTGGTAATAAAGTAATAATAAAGTATAGCTTTTCGAGTGGTGTAGGTTACGTTATGCGCCCTATACAACTCATAACGTGGACAACATTTCAAAGTTTTATACTACTACTACTACTACTACTACTAATAATGATGATGGTTTATCAACAGCATTTCCATAAAAAAATGGCTGTACATCTGCTAATAAAATGTAAAATATATAGTATATATTCAGCTAAAAAAAAGTACATTATTAAATCAGGAGCAGAAACGCGAGTGGTAAAAAAAACGAACCTATGAACTAACTACCTAACTGAATTCTAGTCTTCAGTGCGAACAAATCGGCGAAAACATGGGGTCTTTCTTGAGGTACCGTTATCACAAAAGAATCCAAAGAACCAATTCAAACAATAGAGTCCAGTCTCCTGGGGGCTTTAATGTTTGGTTGTATTGTTTTATAGAGCGTTTTTACATGACGTCACGGCGACCATATTTGTGTTCTCAAACAATAAAACGGCGGCCATGTTGGTGTTCTAAACCAAGAACTCTTTTACTCTTCAAACACTTTCTTTTGTTCCAATAAATGTTTGATAGATGCTGGTCACGTGAGTGTAAACGCTTTATTGTAATCTGTACCTCGGTACCTACAGAAGGAACCAAAACATACCGAGCTTCGTTCACATTTTAGGGTGCGTTCGATTGGGAAATCTGGATTTAGATTTTAAAATCCGGATTTCGGATTTGCAATCGAACGCGAAATCCGAAAACGAATTTCAACGCTGAGATATCTGTTTTTGGATTTTCATTTTTACCGTTCGATTGGGATATCCGAAAAAGGATTTGAAAAACTGTCCTTAAGAACAGCGGTCTTGCACGCGCACGCATAATTAGGAAAAAGAAGACCGCTGTTCACGAGAACAGTGTTGCAAATCCGTTTTTTGGATTTCCCAATCGAACTGTAAAAAGGAAATCCAAAAAATCGGGATTTGGATTTCTTAATTGAAATCCACCCTGAGGACGGATTTCTCGGAGGTGAAATCCGTTTTCGGATTTCGCGTTCGATTGGCAAATCCGGATTTCGATTTTGAAAATCTAAATCCGGATTTCCCAATCGAACGCACCCTTAATTTTATACGAAACAGAACGGCGTGACTCATTTGAGTTTCAATATCCAAACCTCAGACGGTTCCCCCGTGTAAATAGTAGGAACCCCTCGTCGTCTTCCTGCAGGGAACAATAGAGAGGAAAAGTCGTTACGTCTCGTTGCCATGGTAACAAAATTTCTGGATCTTAAAAAACAATGGTTCTGCAATATGGCGGAAAAAAAACGAAAAAATTGACATGCATGACTTTCCTGTGAATCCTTGCACTCAAGAATGGTAGCCCAAACTTTACTTTCATTGTTCGACAATGCAAATGGCCGTCTCTTGTTATCATGGTAACGTAACGTTAAGCTTCTCTCGGCCCAAGCTGTTATGGGAGAGGTTAAGCTTCCCGTTTTCGTCAAACGGCATTATTCTATTATAAATTTTGATTTCTTGGAAATTATTGCTATCAGTATTTAACACTTCGAGTGGTTTTTTGTTTCCAACAAACTGCTTATGGCGCAAAAACAACTTTCTAGGAATGAACGGGAATGTGTTGTTTTAGTTTCCTGTGATCCAATTGATTTATTTTGTTAAGGTGGCCCCAGGAGTACAGTTGTCGCACTGTGTTATCGTTTGTCATTGTGTTTTTTTTTTCACGAAAGTTTGCAATAGGCCCTTTGCAGAGAAGCTGTCACATGGGACAAAAACACCTCGCTGGAAGGCGAACGACGTGGTGGGAATTAGAAAAACAAAGAGATTACATCATTCAGAAAGCTAATGTCCTTTCTTTTCAAGGTCCCTTAGCGTTGTTTGCCATTCAGCAAGGTGTTTTTTTGTACTCTATATGTAACCGTTTTCTTTGCAAAGGGCCACTGATTTAATGCGTTTTCAGTCAAACCTTCGCCTCCGTCTCTTGGCGAACCCAGTCATGGATTTACGAACCTTACTTCACAAGCTACACAAAGAAGTATCCTGTTCCTTGTGTATGAGCCCGTTTACTGATCCAAAAATATTGCCGTGCTTTCATACATTTTGCCTCCATTGCTTAAATGAGCGTCAGCAAGCGAGTAGCGGCATTCATGGCGGGATTACATGCCCAGAATGTCGCAGGAAGTTTCAAGTTCCTGGGAGCGGTTATCCTAAGGAGTTGCCTGCCAACTTTCAAATGAACAGTTTGGCGGACGTCATCAAGGCCATTCCAGAATGTAAAGCCGCAGGAGAGTGTGGAAACTGCGAAAAAAACAGCCACCAAAGTTTCTATTGCTTTCAATGTTGCACCTTCTGGTGCAACGATTGCATTGCTGCTCATAACATTATCCGAGCGACTAAAGACCACCGTGTGCTTGCGGTTAAGGATTTTCAAGATCATGACATTGAAGACGTGAAAGAGAAGGCGCTTCAGAAGAGGAACAGAAGATATCAACCGGTTTTGTCGTTTGGACAGAAAGGTTCGTCTCCCGGAATGTTGGATGATCCCTGGGGTGTGGCAGTGAATGAACACAACCAAATTGCAGTAACTGATAATAATAATCATAGGATTCAGTTATTTAGTAGTGATGGAACTTACTTAAAATGTTTTGGAAATAAGGGTGTAAAAGAGGGAGAGTTTGACTCTGCCTCTGGTATAACTTATTTAAATAATGGAAACATCGTAGTGGCAGACAGTAGTAACAACCGACTGCAAATATTCACTGGGCAGGGGGAGTACCTTTCCCAGATTACTGGTGAGGGAACTGATCTTGATCAGAAATTTGATTTTCCATGGGGAGTAAGTGAAGACAGTGAAGGTAACATTATTGTTGCTGACTCAAATAACCACCTAATCAAGATCTTCAGTCAACGTGGCCAGTTCCTAAAAAAGTTTGGAAAAGATTTGTTAGTTGACCCATGCCACTGTATTCAGAAGGATCAATATCTAATAGTATCAGACTACGGTGATCACAGTATTAAAGTTTTTAATGCAGAAGGTAATTTTCTTTATAAATTTGGAGAGGAAGGGGACGAGAATGGGGAATTATATGAACCCCGTCACCTGTCAATTGACAAAAATGGAAACTTGATTGTATGTGACTGTGGAAATGACCGGGTTCAGATATTCAAACTAAGTGGAATGTTCTTGTCTGAGTTTGGAAAACGCGGCAGCACTGTTGGGGATTTTAATGGACCAGCCTCCACTGCATTTCTTACTGATGGTAAAATAGTTGTGTCTGACCATAGAAACCACCGAATTCAGATTTTTGCCGATTAATTTTGTTATATAATAGTTCTATATTATTACTTAAAGTTATTGTCCAAGTTTTTGAGAAAACTGGCCCCTGCGTGTGAATAAATTTCGTTTATGCATAGTTTTTGTTGGCTATGTCACGTAGCTTCCTTTCTTAAAAGTATTTTTTTAGGATCAATTGTGAATACCCTATATATAGGATAACGCCTGAGCTCTGAGGCCGAGGAGCGAGGGAGTTATCCGATTTAATGCGCCTTTCCATTGTTTTAGAACCAGCAGGTCATTATTGTGGCCACTGAAATGAAACAGAAGGTTATTATTCGTAATAATGATCTCCTGTTCCACGTCCGTGACCTGCCCTTCCATTGAAAACAATCTACTGTAGTTGTTTATGAGAATGTTAGGATTAACAAATTTCATTTAGTAAATAAAAGAGCATTTTGCCAAAAAGAATTCCCTCTGCGATATGGATTTCAGTTTAGAAATCCAAACAATTAGTCCGTGTTTTGAATGTTAGGCCCAGTCTGAAATTGAAATCCAGATGTTAAAATCCAAAGACGGACTTCCTAAATTAACTCTTCCAAACAGTCCCCCATCCACAACGCCACAATTTATTTTGAAAGTAACCTCGTTGTTCATCGGTCAGAACAGCATCAGGCTTAAGGACAACAAGTCCTAGGGGTGGTACTCCCGGCTATGATGGCTCTGTCTCACTGGGTGTATTTTATACGAAATGGTGCGGGCATGCCAAGTACGCGCCTCACTCTATTCTCTCTACGGGAACTTCCCTTAGTGTTTTAACCGTAGTTGAAATAAGCGTCGCTCTCGTCTATAGGGGAAAATGAAATAAGCGCCTCGGCGCTTAATCGATCATTTACGGTAAAATTGAAATTCAAAAAAATTCAAATCCAATTCAAATTTTTGCTTCATGAAGACTATTCACTAGTATGTTATTGAAGTTTTGCGTAATAAAGGGACCGGCCTTTTTTTTCAAACGTTAATTTCTCGTTGTTTTTTGCTTGTTCGTACAATCAGTTTGTAGAATGACACCGATAATACGACGTCAACAATAAGATTACATTTGAAAATTGAAAAAAAGGTCATTTTCGCATTCAACTCCTTAAGTTTAGCCAATTCCCAGTTTCTTGAACTTAACCCTCACATTCAAAACGACGCTAAGTGCAAAATCTTTCCTGTAAAAATGAGTTTTAATAAAGGAGATTTGAAAACCATTTTCGCACTTAGCCTAACTTTGAAACAGAGGCACAGGACCACCAGGGTTTTAGCTCATTCTATTAAACCCTGGACATTACCAAAAACAAACAGTGGAGAATATAGAATGAACCTTGCCTAGTCCCTAGGCCTCATTACTGAGCGCGGCCGATGCGTTTCGGGTCACGTGGCCCGGCCGTTTATCTCGGATACGTCACCGAAATACATTGCCCGAGAAGACCTGGGCAGACGCCACACAGGGACTAGGCAAGAATGAAACGTGGATAACACTAAATTAATCACATCAACTTGGATGGTTCCCGACTAGTATTGATGGGGGTAACTCGCGTCCAAGGTCGAACTTTCAGGTTGTAAACGTGGCAGGTACATGAAGACAAGAAAACATGAAGGATTGTCGGGATTACAAGTAGGGTGGGTTTATCCCTCTTCAAGGTCGGAGAAAATATCAAAGGGTTACCAGGTCTCTCCGTTGCCAAGCCACACATTAAGAAAAATTCCCCTGATATGGAGCAAGTTGCAAAAAAAAAAAAAAAACGAGTCAAATTCATCACTTCGCTATTTTCCTCACGCTCCTACAGTGGAGAAAAGAGCACCCACTATCACCTCCCACTTCTACCATCTCATTACAAAAAAAAGCCCAAGTACTCTTGACATGACTCAGTCTGCTGATGGAGCGCTCGGGATAGCTCATGTTCAAAATGGTGAGTTTTTTAGCGTGAAGAAAACGCCGCGCACATCTTTCAAACACATTCTCCATTAGGTAAAACAAACACAGGCCTTTCCCCCAACTTTTGGCTTCATACCTACTAAATTAACTCAACACGGAAACGCCATATCGGAGAGCACATAGAACAGCACGGCTCTCTCCACTCTTGGCGTTTCCAAAACGTTAGAAAAACCTTTTTTTACCCATGAAAGGGATTTTTGTAAAGTATGGTAAGCGCCAAACTGGTCTTTTTTCTTCATTATACTTCCATCAAAGAAGCGGATAACAAAAAAAATAGCACATCGCTCGTCACCCCCGCCCACATTTAGCCTGCCTAGTAGCAGGCGCTAGTAAGTACCCCTCGCGCACCCGTTCTTTCTTGCACCTACATCACTTGCAAGCACCTACTACGCAGGCTAGCCCACATTTAGCACCCCGCCCATTATAATGACAGTTTCCTTTTTTAACACCACTGGTTTTATTGATATAGAACAGGTGTATATTACTCACACACCTGTATTGCGATTTACTACCACGAGTAGGTAGGTATCTGGTTATTGCCACACCCTGCTCTTTAAAGATTTAAATTATCTGATAATATCAATGAATTATCTTGGAGGATTTCCTTATAGACAAAGCAGAATTTCATGAAGACAACTACTTATTAACGCTCTTCACGAAATCCTTTTCCTCACAATAGGGTAAAATGTTGCTGAATAAAATTTACAGAATAGATTATAAAAACAAAGACAACTAAAAAGCATTATTTCATCACTGTACATGCTCATAAAGCAACAAACAAAAACTTCTAAAAGCTTCTGTCCATGAAATTAACCAATAAAAATAACATTTTGTGTAAAAATAAACTCTAATGAATTTCTGTTTGCTTCTGATTGAACCGAATAGCAAGCATTAAAAGGAATTTAAAGTTGACTAAGAATTTCTGGAGCTGGCTTCCTTAGCAGCGAGAATGAGTGGCACCAGACTTGCAAGTGGTTTTGCCTGCTTTAAAAATGGATGCTGTAAGAAATAAAAAACAACAAGAATTAAAATAATAATCATAGTTTGATAATTTTTGAGTGAAACAGCAAAAAATAGGGATAACTTGGACAAGATGAGCAAAATATAAGACACTTCTCGGATCTGTGCATCAAATCATCTGCAATTAATTAAGCTGCAAAAAAATCCAGAATTTTGCAGCAATAATTGTTACATTTCTCATACAGTAACATAAATTTAACCACATAACATTGGTTCTTACTGACGGGCAAGCCAAAGGAATAGTTATGTGTGCTTACCTGAAGCAGTTCCCTGGCACCTAACCGTTTATCTACATCCATTTCCAAAGACTGTGACAAGAAATCCTTAAATACTGGAGATAGTTTTTCTGGGTGAGCGAGTTCTGGTGTGCCATTTGTAGCTATCAAGTACAAAGCCTGTAGAGCAACAAAACAATAACAACAATGTCACTTCGTAACAAGACTTTTGGCTGTGGTAAGCTCCAGCATTATGGTTACCTTAAGAGAGCCTTGAGAGGATTCAAAGTTCTATAACACAGTTCAGGCACAGACATGCTCACTATTATGAACATCAACGACATGGAAATCAAATGCTGGATCTGTACAATAATTATACAACCAATACAAACAGTACTTCTCTCATCAACAATGATTCAAATCATTCAGATGACTGATACTGTACTTACTCTAAGAGGATTCTCATTCAGATAAGGTGGTTCACCTTCTACCATCTCAATTGCCATAATTCCTAAGCTCCATATGTCCACCTACAACAGAGAAACACAACAGTGATCAGTCTGCATGTATTGGAGTGACATGTCTACAGAGGGTGGCAAGATCTACCACAGATCCATTATCTACCCTTTGACAATACCAGTAATAACCAAAAATTAGGGAGTGTGGGTGCTGGATCAAAGGTCAAAATGCTCTTTCTAGAATGCTGTGCTTGGCATAAGTTACACAACCAGATAGAAGATCAAAACGCATACGATCAGTTTAGAGTGATAAAGAGTCCAAATGTGCATGATCAGATTGTGTTCTATGTATTCCTTAAATTCAAACCAATGATGGCCACATAAAAGTGCTGGGCATGCTGCCATAATACCAACCTATAGATTAGGGGATTAGGGCTGGTGGACACTCTGGTCACCTGCAATTATTAGCTCAAATCAATGTTTGGGTACATTAATGTTGGATATAAACTGACAAATAAAAACTCACTTTAGGACCATACTGTTTCCTGGTCACCACTTCAGGTGCCATCCAATAAGGTGTTCCTACCATAGTGGAACGTTTTGACTGCTCTGGTGTTATTTGTGCGCAGAAACCAAAATCAGCTAAACAACAGAAATTAAACAATATCCTTCCATCAATACTTCTAATCATTAAAAAAGTAAAACTGCAAAGCTGACTTATTGACACTAAGGCCTAACTACAACCACACTCTATCCTCATGTACCCTTGAAGCAACTTTTTTTTCCTTTGTATGGTAATAGGAAAAAAAGGAAAGCAAAATTTACGCTAAGGATAAAATTGAACCACAAAATTGGTACAGTACTGTATGCACACTTACACAGGCAACAGGCAATTTGAAAAAACAGCAAAATAGAGCTTAAAGATTCTTACTAAGTTTGACTTGACCATCCATTCCTAACAGAATGTTGTCACTCTTTATATCTCTGTGAATTACTCCATTGCTGTGCAGAAACTCTAGGGCTTGAAGGCACTATATCACAATGCAGAATGTTATAAATTAGTCATGCTGATATTGACACTGCTCCACAAGGTGACGGAGAACCAATACGACAGGGTAAGAGAGGGAGAGGGGACGGGTTGGGTGGGGAGGAGGAAACATCCATTGACTTCAACACAGACTATTGAAACATCAGTCACTGTCATAAACAGTCCAATTCAAACTCCACTGACCTGGCTGGTCACATTCTACCCACTTGTGACTGTATCCTAGGGGTAATCATTAACTAAGAAAAAGCACATTATTTAACATCTTGTGTCTTGTGCAAGTACCTCTCTAGAGACGGATGCGATCTGTCCTTCATCCATACATGTCTCTGTGACAACATCAGTTAATGAGCCCCCAGCTAAATACTCCATGACAACCTAGTGAGGAGAATAAACCAAACACTTTGAGGAAGAACAATAAAAGTAACACCTATAAGAATGCAACTGTAACTTTGTAAATTCTGCAGTGACATGATGAAGTAATAAGTGTTCAATCATATGGAAGAAGATCAACGCAGTTATAGACGCAACTTTTGCAGTTGCAAAAAGAAAGGTTGAAAAAACATTCAGGCTTGTACAGGATTCGAACCTTGCTCCCAGTTGGCTTGTTAGCTCAATTGGTAGAGCTCTACACTGGTATCACAGAGGTCAAGGGTTCGAATCCTGTACAAGCCTGAATTGCTTTCTTTTCACAACTGCAAAAGTTCCATCTACAACTGCAATGACAACTGCATTTTTAATGGTACATAGTAGTGTCTTTTTTTAACATCTATTCTATAATCTTTTAAAACCTAGACATTGTAAATAGTTTTTTTTTTGGTGTTTTTATTAGTATAGATATTATATATTGGTAAGATTGTGTTTTGAGGGCCACAAGTTTACTAACCTTGGGCTATTTAGTGTTACCCTCATTAAATAAAGGCATTATTATTGTTATTACTATTATCATTATTATTATTATTATTATTATGTCGCAGTATGAAACTTTGGAATGCTGTCCACATTATGAGTAGTATAGGGCGCATAGCGTAACCTACACCACTTGAGAAGCTATACTTAGAAGTAAAAAAAGGTCGATACGAAACCTAATACAATCCTAAAATACATAGTGATATGAATCTCTCTACTTAAAAGGCCAATTTAGAATATTATTAAATTCTGATACTCTGTAAAACCTTCGCTATCTCTACTAAAAACATATTTATAATAATATCACACTCTAATGTTCTAAAAAATCTAAATAAAAACGTCAGCAAGCTTGTGTTTCTAGATTTCTAGAGAAAAAACAAAACCTAAAAACTGAAGTCAATAGCGCCCTAACTAAGTATTTATCTTACATGTTCTGGCAATGTTTAAAGTGTTTGAGATGACCGACTTCTGCATTCGCTCAAGTACGCTCCGTGCTCTCGCTCCAAGTAGCTTCCTCACCGACTTCTCTAGGTGTTTAGAGTAACCCCCCAGTACGTCAATTATTACGTTGTACTGTTCAACCCTGTAACCATTATATCTCTTCCTCAGCTCCCACATCATGGGCCCACACTTGAGTGTCTTTTCCTCATCTTTCTTGGCTCTACTCTCAGTCCACGGGCAGCTTATTTCAATTGTGCAGACTTCTTCTTCGTGGTTGACAAGTCGCGCGTCGATCCGATTTGCTCTAACTTCGTTGTGATCTGCATAGATGGGGATATCCCAAAACGCCTCACTCGTGGTGTTCTGGTAGGCTGGTTTTGGCATCACCGGTGAGTACCATGGTGGAACCTCTTCCATTAACCCATGCTCTCGCAGGAGCTCAAAAAACAGAATCTTCAAAGCTGCATTATGCCTGTATAGGTACATGGTTTGTGCCAGGGAGGAACATCCAGCCAGTACATGTGCAACGCTCTCAGCTACCTTCCCACATAACCTGCATAGAACTTCGCCGCCGGGTGGAGGTTTGCGTCTTCTCCTTTGTGTAGAGCTTCGTAGGTAACAACTGCTCATACAGTTCATACATGCCCGCGATGGTATGTGTAGAGCATGTAGCCCAACCTTTTAACCATGCAAAGCAGCTGGCTATGCTTAGGCTCTCATCTTCCCATCTGATACGGAATAACTTTCCTTGCCACTTTTTGTCTTTAGCGCTCTCCAAGAACTGCTTCTCTTGAGATTGCTTCAACAGATTCCCAGCTCTTGCTGCAGTTACCACCTTTCCATCTGTTGTAATTATTATCTCCATCTGTTATTATTATTATTGTTATTATTATTATTATTATTATTATCTTCTTTCATATAATTCTTCATCCTGCAGTTCCCATTTCTGATTAGTTTTATATATTTATAACTTCAATAAGTGTTGACTTACCCAAAGCTCTTCTCCCACAAGGTAACTATCCACATAGTTGACAATATTTGGATGTTTATTCTCCCTCATCACCAAAATTTCATTGATAATTAATTCCTACAATAAACAGAGCAGCAGGTGTTAATGTTTGCTAGTTGATGTTAAAAGTATACTTTGAACTATTAATAAATTCCATTCCACTTCACTCCAAGAGACATTACTTTTATGCAGTGATGGGTGTTACTTTTAAATCCACGGATTATTATTATTATAATTTTAAATGTCTGATGCTGCACAAAGTAATTTGTACCTAGTTATTAAGTCTACCTATTGAGTTAGTGTGTGAGCAAATAAACTAATTAATAACTACATGAAATAAATTTAAAAATGACAACAAAGCTACTGAGGTATCAGGATGAACCCACTGCGCTAAAAAATTTATCGATACAACTGTAGATCTTAGTTCTGGAATTTATTTTGCACCACCAGTCATGTTTTACACTATGCATGAATGTCTAGAGTATAAGTCAGTTCAAATCTGCACACTACCTTCTTTGGTTGCTGTGACAAGTTCATCTGTTTGATTGCCACCTGGATAGTAAAGTAAAACAAAGAAAATATGGCAATTTCATACATTGTAAACTCATTAGAAATTTTGAGTGCTTTTTCTAAAATTGCATTTATTTATTTCCAATTCCTTGATAATGGCATCATGAGGTTACCAAAAAGTTGCAACATTATCTAGCTAGATGTTACTTGTTTGTATTTTGTGTTCATGAAAGTGTTTTTTTTGGCTTTGCTTAAATAATGTTGTGCTTTACAAGTGACACGCAAAAATACACAATATTGTTATGAAAGAAAAGCAACAAAAATGCATTGGTACATGACTGTATTCAGCATTGGTACAAGTATTCAGCCTTGTTATTAATCAACTCTCTCTGAATACTACTGGGGCTTAAACAAAGCATCCATATCTTAGAGATGTCTGCATGTATACCTTATAGAGAGTACAAAAAATCTGAGGAATGGCAGGGACTGACCCTGGGTGTCCATTATAAAAGTTTTTTTTTCACAGAGTTGACTAGATAATGCTTTCAACCTACAGTACAGATAAACTTCTGGTATAAATAATAGTCTTAACCATTGTTACAGCTGTTTCGGATAACACGACCTATGTCAAAAATGTCTAAGGATTTTGGGTGTTTCTGTGACGTCAATCAAAATCTGAAGGCTCAACGATTTCTATCGAACCTCTTAAGAAACAAAAGTTTACTTAGACAGGTTTGAAAGCTGATGGTTTGTGATTTGTGATTGGTGGATTTCGATCTGTTTTGTGGGTTCGTTGCTTTTGAACATCAGAGTTCGCGTGTTCTTGAAAAGCGCATTAAGTTTTCCTGCTCTGTGCCTCATCAATCCGGAAGGATTTGTGCTTTGATGTTCTGTTGTGTAATGTAAACTTTTCATGTTTAAGCTCTAAAGTTTTTTTACCTTCTTACTGAAACATGGCAAGTTAAGACACCCAAGGTGAAATTGCTCCTATAGAGCTTCCAAATCCACACAAAACACAGACATGGAAGGGTGAAAACAAATTGGTACGTTCCCGCCAACATTTAATTTTGCAGCTTCTTCTCATTATTGCCACCCTCATTTGACAAGCAAGAATTGGATGCTGTGGTAACGGTTTGATTGACGTTAAAGAAAAACACAAAATACTGAAATGTTTTTGACAATGCAGATCGTGTGTTATCCGAAACAGCTGTAATGCTACTAAAAATAATTAACTGTAACAAAGCAAATGAACTTGAAATAGAAATGCACTAATTTACAGTATTTATAATTACCTCATGTCCAGTTGCTATTTCAATAGCTGTATAAACTGTACCAGATGCCCTGCAAAGTGCAAGTAACAAATGAACTTTAATTTTTTCTGGTTTATGGATGACTAATGTAATGCATTTGTTGCAACAAATCATATTCAACTGAAAAAGGACTCTAAAATTCAAGTGTTTTCGATGGTTTTCAAGGGTTTTCGAGACGTGTGCAAACCTTGATAAAAGAAAATGATTTCGTTCAATAATTAATTCTTACCCCTGACCAATCTTTTCGAATTTTGTGTATTTCCTTTTAGGATCTCCAACACTAACTATGGTACCTGAAATAAAGATACACACAGTCATTAAATATCAGCTGTTGTAAGGACATCTGATACTTTCAGTCTCTAAACGAAACTGACAGAGAACAGATAATTGACATACGTAATCTGCTATGAATCTCTTCATCTGACATCTTTTTCTTCTTCCTATCTCTTGTTTGTGGCTTTTGTTGCTGATCATGTGAAGTCACTGAAAGACAAAAAAGAATTGAGATACTGTTTTAAACACAAATTTTCAGCAAAATAAGTGCTTACAGCAACTTAAAAAAACCTTGTAAACCTGTGTCCAGCATTAAACACACCAAATAACATATCCTTTACAAGTTTATCTATAACAAAACATGGATTACCTTTATCATCTTCCTTGGCTGAGGGCTTTATAGAAACTTCATTTGGTATGTACTGAAATGATAACAAGAAAATCCTTACACAAGTAACCCTTAACTTCATGTTCTCTGAATGAAACCTTTGAGAAACCAATTCATTTACTGTGAAAATATTTACTATCCTATTGGGCTACTTGAGTTTGACATTGTCATGTAATGATTGGAGCTCACTTTACAAAGTACATGCAGTGATAGTGTCATGTACCTGGTAGGTATTGTAGCCTGTGTAGGTGGCAGGATTGATATACCCAGAAAGGTACTTTCTTGCCAGCAGAGCTGCCACACTAAGCTAGCGGCAAAGCCTCGAGGGGAAAATCTTGGCTGCCAAATTTCTTCTGAGCTTTGAATGCTGCCCACTTGCCAACTAATCCCACCAGCTACACAGGCTACCCATTAGTAGCAGCCCACCATGTGCATTATTATTAAATTTTTGTAACATTTCAACTTGATCCCAAGGTTTAGGCTGAATTAAGAAGAATTACCAACAAAAATAAAACCACCAGTGAAGCAGTTATTGCAGAAAATACCTTGGATTTAGTGTGTTCAGGCCTTGAAGGAATGGCTGGTGGTACATCCGCTTCAGATTCATTCACTTGTTCACTGTGATTTTCTGCTGCCAAAGTCTGTCAAACATATTACATGAAAACCAAAAAATACTGTCAGGGTTTTCATTAAGAATTCTAGTACCAGAAGAAAGGTGTAACATTACAGGAGTATATTGTGAAAGAGGCTCCATATCTAAATAAAAAATAGTCGCAGGCTATCACACATTAGCCGGAGAATTCTGTGTAGAGAATGGGGAATTCTCCGATCTTGGATGCCTAACGAACACCATGACTGTATGACCACCTTCTACAAACAATATCATTGGCAGCATGTCTGGAACACTTTCGCTACCATTTTTTCCTCTTCTGTATGGATCTCATGAATAAGAAAGAATGTAATGCTGTACTCAGCATCTCTACAGTAAATTTTCATGTAAATAGAGAAGAAGGTACTGGGGCGTGTTTCTTTCTTTCTTTTTCACCAGTATGTAATTGTGTGCGAGTCTGCGATGTAGATATGTTTAGTTTTCTTCTCTTTTCTTTGTATTTTTCCTACGTCTTCATAAGTCAGTGTGCAAAAAAAATGTAATAAATAACAGAATAAAAATTCATTAAACTACAAAAAAAATCTCTACAGTAAATCCTCAAAATGAGGATATGAAGATTTAAGATGGCTCTGCACCACCAAATTTTCTAACATGCACACACCTACTCTAACTAACCAGTGCTAATCAGAAGGAGGGGATTGGAATGGTTATGGAATTGTTCAAGTACGAGTAAGTGCCCTAAGGTTAGGTACCCTTGGTTAAATTTTTTAACCAAGGTTGATTCTCAATTTCCTTTGTTTCCTAACCTCAATTCATGAATAATCAGGGCTAGGAGACAAATGAAATAGAGAATCAACCTAGGATAAAAACATTTAACCTGAATATGATTTTGACTTGTAACATTTCAACTGTTTATATTCATGTTAACTGTAACACGTTTGTATTCATAATTGGTCTGATAAACTACCCCCTGTTAACTTCATTTACTGTCTTACATGTGTAGGCGTGGCGTGTGGCGGAAGAGGTGGTGCATATGTGTGATCTCCAACTCCAGGACGCGATGGCTGTGTTTGACCTGCATGATAAACAAAACAAACTTTACAGCTGTACTTCTACCACACTACAAATGTATCACCAAGCATACTTTTGCAGGCCACTTAGACTTCACAAAAGATGACGACAAGAAGAAAATGACATAAATTAATAAGCATGAATAATATTATACACGTTGTTTAAATTTCCTGTTATGGGACAAAATTTTGATGACTTCATGAACACATGAGCTGTGGTTCAATTTCATCTTTGGTTTAATTTTTTGTTTCAAACTCATTGCATACCTTACTGTACAAATAAAACGAGAGAGAAACAACATTTTAAATCATAACGATAAAACTGAACCCAAACACATACATGTACACTGTATGTGTATTTTACCCATGCAAAACATTGCAAGGAGTTCAGTGTTTCATAGCTATGAAGAAGTATGGTCCATTACATGTATGTAAGTTTTCATTACCCCCCCATCCTCATCAATATCTTTAACCCCCCCTCCCTCCTCACCTGCCCCTACCGTCCTGAATAATGAATTCAATTCTTAGAGCAATAGATATAGCTGTTATTGTGTATTTGATTAAATGCCTTGAGTGACTCCAGGTCTCACTTGCTAAATCAAACAATCCAAGAGGACATTTGAAAGGGAAATGGCTTCATACGTTTTCCATATAACTTTTTACAGGCAAAACTGTATCTACATTAAAGAGGTGTGCAAATTGCTAGAAGCAGTTCTGGGAATTAACATGCTGGTTTGTGTTAAGACTGATCTCTCCTCTTACAAAGAAGGGTAATGAGATAAGAAAAAATATGCAGAAAAACTTTAGGATGTAAATGTACGATGCATAAGCTATATGCGGCGACCTTAAGTTAACTGTGTGGGTGACCAAAACTGTTGCACTTATTTATGACATCTGACATCTGAACTGGGCCTAACATTACAATGTACTATGCAATACACATTCATCACAACACATTTGTCATTGTAAGTTGGTGGAAAGTGGTGCTGTAAATTATGTTTTATTTCTGTTCCATTTATTTTATTTTTGGTTCACGATGTTACAGATTCAAAAAGAAGTCAGATGCTGACTAAGAATTCTTCAAAGTATTTTGAATACTAAGAGGTATAACAAGCATGCATTTTAGACAAAAAAAAGGTTTGCATTGTGGGTGCTTATTAGTAGCCAGGTGCAAGGAAACAACGTTGTTGAAGAAAGAATCCAGTAGCCCACAACATCTGCCTTCTTGATAAACCTGTACGCACAACTATGAAAAAGTTTAGTACAATCTTGATGATCGATATTCAACACTAAAACTGATTAGAACTGACTAAACACGTTAGATATTTAAAGGTTTTAATAAAGATGACTCACTGTTACGAGAAACTTCATCATTTTATAGAACTTTAAGAGAATCATTCAGAGTAGTAAAGTTAGAACTTGGCAGAAATACCTTGAAAATCAGAAGAGATGTGTTGTAAGTATTTATTAGTGGGTGATAGTTCTGAGCTCACAATCAATTTCTCAAGTTCATCAGTTAACGACCCTGGTGATGACCCAGTTAGTGAACTTGAAGTGTCCGATTGAGATGTAAGAAGAGCACGTGTTGGCGAAGGAGATGACTTGCGCTCATCTTTATACGCTTTTCTTCTTTCATTGCTTGTTGTACCACTAGCAGGTAAAGATTTCCTGCGCTTCTTTGAATTCCGTTTACCCGTAATTAATACTTTCAGGCTTTTAGAAGATTGTTTGTTCTTAGGAGAAGTACAACTAAATGGTGAACAAGTTATTTTTAGTTCAGTGGCATCTTCAGAGGCAGATGAATACTGTGGGCTACTGGATGCTGACGGAGTGGAGTGACGTAAGATAGGCTCAGTATCAGATGATGAAGTGAGGATTTTTCCTTTAAAAGAAGTCGCTATAATGAAATACATGCTTCATATCAACCAAACACTATTGCTGCAGAGCTTAATAGTATAAAAAATATTTCAACCGTTTTAAATGTTTTATGATAAGAATGTTAATTTTAGATTAAACTTTTAGAAGGTTAGATTTAAAGCTGTACATGCAAGCACAAAGCCAGACAGTTTAAAAACACATACAATTATTTAAAAAGAGACTGAAAAAAATTGAAGAAACCTAAATGGCCACATAAAAATATTTTGTTTGATATTGACAAGGTTGCACTTTTTACACTACACACAATAAAAACTTACAAATGCACAAGCAGAGCAGATTTTAATAAGCTACTGACCAGGAAATAATACATTTACGTAAACAAGTAGCCCAAAATGATCCATTTGTGATATTTCTGACGAAAGATTCACCCTGGATACATGTACCAGGCATACATTTTGTATAAAAGCAGTTTGCATGAAGCAATGGCTTTAGTGTGTTTGAAAAGGAAACAATGGAACAATGGATCTTGTTTTGCTATTTTCTTGGGGCTAAGCTTGGAAAATCTGGACTGGGATTCTGAAATCCAGAACAAAATGGATTTTTGATTACCAGTTCACCTAAATTTGAATATTGACAATCCAAATTACGATTTTGCCATTTTATTATTGTACCCTTGGTTGTTCTTGAAAGTGAATGGTACATCTACAAAGGTGAGGTCTGCAAATAATAAATAAAATAAAAACATATTACACTGTAATTTCACTTACCATAAGGCTTTGACACTGTCATAAACTTAGAGGTTGTTTCCTCTTTATTAATATTTCCTTCATAGAAATTTAACACATCAAGAACAGCCTGAAGAAAAGGAATTTAAAGCATATCAGTACAGAAAAAAATTCAAAGAACTGCACCAGTAACAGTGTAATGGAAAGGACATTCCACAGGTTTATCAGAAGTCAATTAAACATTTTTAGGATACCATTCCCAATGACACGATCTTCCTTCATTCGGTATAAACTTGCACTTCAACAGATCAAAATGCTTAAATGTTGTTAAAGCAAAGGTTTGATTTAAACTGTAAAAGTCAAAAATTATTACAGTACCCTTCAAAAGTAAGGCGACACACTTGATTCTCAATCCTCACGAGAATCAAGAATCGAGTCAAGAATCGAGACTCGATTCCTCGATTGTTGCATCTCGATTCTTGATATTCCGTTCCGTTCCGACTCAGCAAACCGGAACGGCCTTCACGAGACTCAATCCTTGACTCGTTTCTCAATAATTTGTTCTCAATTCACACAGGAATCAAGAATCAAGAATTGAGTCTAGAATTGAGACTCGCAACAGACTGTCAACTTACTTTTGAATGGTACTGTCTCATCCTTGTGCACAGTAGTGGACAAGGCAAAAGATGCTAGTTTTCTTTTTAAATTTCAATCAAGGTGTTAGAAAGTAGAGCCCAAGGCATGAAACACTGCAATGTATTGCCTTTATTCTCAGGAAGCAGTTGAGTTCTCCCATTCAAAATTCAGCTTTTCCCAATCCTTCAGTCCACTCTTAAAATAATTCTAATATCCTACTGCAAACCTTTACTTAACAACTTGAGATGAATATACATAACTTGAATCAAGATCAAGGGTAAAGACTAAACCATGTAACGAGATTTACATTTCCACTGAAGGCCACTTCCATAGTATTATCCTTACCATGATATTTATCAGAGGGCTTCTCCACACTGCTTTACACTAAGTGGATCTGTTCAGTGAACTGTTTATTCTTTCACCTGGATATATACAGCTGACGGAATTGTGAAAACTTTTTACGAACGTTCACTTGGTAAGGAAATGAATTGAAAGGCCTGATCTTACCTGAGGGTTTTTCTTCTGTTCAGCTTGGGTGATATTTGACGTATGAAGAAGTCGTGCCCATGCTTCAGGCATCCCCTGTCAACAGTGATGTCATTAGTCAACAAAGTACAATATATAGCAGGGTAAGTGTTAAAAATAAACATCAGCCAGCCTCTGATTGAGAGACACTACACTTATTTGTCAGTACAAGTAATAATGGCCATGAATAGCAGGTTTTTGCTGTTGGGAATGCCACGATGACCAATTAATGACAAGGATCACATGACATGGCCTTTTTTAAAAACACGTACTTAACAGGGATATTCTGTCCCACAGGGCATACTGTTTTACCTGTCAAACATCCAAAAAGATGCTCATGTACATGACTGTGTGTAATGGCAGCTGTCTATTTACAAGCCACGCTTAGCTCATGAGTGACAGCCTCTAAAAACCATCTGCTATACATTTTATAGTACAGTGTGCACTTATAAAACTACGCTGTGATAACCTGAACAAAAACAAGGTTGGTGAAGACCAAGAAAAGGTGAAATACTGGACATTAAAACAAAAAATGTTTATGGACAAGTGAAACTGAGAAACTGAGATCAATATAGGGAAGATCAAGAAAAGGAGAAAGAAATTGCTAACTGCTGAACTGGTTGAAGGGACCAAAACTCAGAGCTGTTAAGACAGGAAATTTCTAATACTTCTTCGACTAAATTAAAGAACAAGGAACAATGCCGTGCTACATGTACAAATACCGTATAATGCAATTGCTTGCAGGCATTATCTCAAAATGTTCCTGCTCATGGTATCATGCATGTTAATAGCCATTTTTGGCCTCATTTATGATTATGCAGCCAGCAGGGATGAATTAACATGCTGACTAAAGAGTTATAAATAAAAATTGGCTGCCATTTTTTAAAAAATAATTATTAGCATCCTTACACTACAAATACTTATTGGAGTAATAAAAAAATTGTGGTTTGTGGTGACCCTTTCATAAAAATTTGCTCATGCTGCATATGTTACGTCCCAAAAGTGCATAAAATATGATAAAAATACAATGAATAAATAATAATGTTTGACAACTCTGTATAAGAACAGACATCACCATGAAAACTAGAAGCTATGTCAAAAGGTGAGAAATATTGAGATATAAAACCTCATGTTATTATAATTTATTATACAAAATATTTTACGAAATTATAATATTCTAAAAAAACCTTCTGAAAAAAAAGATATTTCATGGATAACAGAACAAAAATGCCAAAACCTTAAACCTGCCATAATGAGCACAATTCATTCTTTAAACAATCACATGAAGAACAAAGTTACATTAAATGTAACTTTGCTGATTTAATCAAAATGATTGAGCCATATCAAGCACCAAGTATGAAAAACAGACCTATTGTACCAGCAATGAGACTCCACTCGTTTTTCCACACATAAATATAAGTTTGTGCCACTGTGTTGATTAAAACTAGCTTATTACTAGGAATCACAAGACTACAAGCTCTAATCTACTGCATCATGATTCATGATTTTTAACAGCAACAGGCACATTGTGTCACAGCATCAAAACATTTGAGAAGATGTCAGGAATAAAACAATAGTGTTTTACTTTAATTCGTGACATAAGGGATAGAATTCAATTTATAGCTTAGATAATAATGGACGAATGAGACTGTAATTTTGACTCATGAAAGTGACAGCAACTTTCCACCTGCCCGATGAAGTGAATTCACAATCTATAATTTGTAAAATGTAGCCTTTAAAGGAAGAGAAAAAATCATTAAAAGTGGCATAAATTCTCAACAGACAACACAGCTTAATCTACCGTGGAGTTTAATCGTTGCATCTCTAAGGATGAGAAGAAAAACTCGTTAAATACAAACATTGCTTCAAATTCCATTTTCTGCACCTGTTCTAATGACAACTTCGGAATTTTGGATGAAAACCGGCTCGAAAAGATAAAAGCTTTTTCCAACTTGAAACGAGTTACAAAAACTTTAAAAGGGCAAAAATAAAGAGGGATCTGATTTCGCTACCGCGTCATGCAGTTGAAGTATTCATGCCCCGATATTGAAATAACTAGGAAAATTTGACTTTACTGCACAGAACACCATATAGCCAGCGGAGCTCTTCTAATATGCATTTCATTTTCACCCCACTATGTAACTACGCTTGCGATCCTTTTGATGGCCCAAGAGTTTTGTTTGGAAACTTTGAAGAGGACGCAAACATCTGCATTTATAACCTATGCATGATTTGATCAATGAATTCAAATACTTATTCAAGTCTAAGAAGTTTAGCATGACCACCTACTATGAACCGGCTCATACACAAGTAAGAACGTAAAGGAAATTCAGACAATAAACTCAGTAAGGGTATTTTAAATGCACAACACACGGGCGAGGACTTTCTAGGAAAATATATTCATGTATAAACGTAAGCTTAAATATACCTTCAAGAATAAATGTTGAAGAATTTGATCTTGAAGAACGTTGCAACCAGGAAGAAATAGATCGCACTTCAAAATCGCTGTACCTGTAAAGTTTCACTCTGCTCCGCCGATATACCACGTAATTTTGCGAGCAGATAGAAATTTACAGCAGAAATTAAAACAACCTAGATTCATTCAAGGCTTGGTTATAAGTTATGTGCGTTCGTGATGTCTGAAAATAAGCGACACCGCTTCGAATCAATCGATCCAAACACGAATCGAAGACAGCTGACAGATCGATTTTCGTTTCATAACCTCAAGCAAGCACTTCGATAAAAAGTGAAAGTATGTTTAAACGAGCCAATCTTATTACTTACCGTGAATTCTGAGGTAACGGGATCAAAGCCCACATGGATTGTGTGTTCGAACTGTGTTGGGTAAGAGATTTCAGGCTTTTTCTTCGAATCTACAGTAGAACATAATTGTTTTTTATCACATTAGCGAATTGACGCCATAACAGAAATAGATTCTTTCTCGTCTCTGAGCACATTTAGCATTTTTAACAACAAGCTACATACATTTCTCGTCGCCTTTGGTCTGAAAGAATTTAAAAGTGGATGCTTTCTTCTTCTTCTCATCAACAGGAGCGCTTGGCAAAGGTTTCGATGCAGGCGAAGAATCTTTCGTGGAAGTTACACGTAAAGGAGGGGCCGGTGGCCGTTCTTCGTCCGACATACTGCTTTGTAAACTTATCTAGCAGCCAAATTCTCCTCTAGTTGTCTCAGAGTTCTTATTCTATAAAACGCCGCAAAAAATTCCACCACTGAAAACATGCGTAACTCAAATGCTCAGAGTTTCGCTGGTCAATCGCAAAGATATGTAGGGGAAGGTTTCATCGCCAGGGTGCGAGTATTTTCAATCCCCCCTCCCACATATGGCGCGGAGAGTACTGGGAACTAACTCAGTCATTTGCAGCCAATCAGAATGCGTCCAATTTGTCTGCCTTTCCGGATTCCGGGTCCTTTGATTTCACTGAGAAATGTACGTAACTAGCTTGATATTTCCTGGATATGAAGGCAAGGCTGTGACGCTTAAAAAATTGTTATCTATGGATCGATAAGAAGCTAGGGGCAGGCAAGGCCCTTTGTATATCTTTGTATATCTTGGAGAAGGTTTTATCTCACCGAATGAAAAGCTGATCATTTTGACAACAGGAAATCTTGTTTTGCATTCAAAAATATACACTTTCTCCTTCCTGATTGCACTATTTCGAAATATATTTCACTTGTGCGTCAACGTTTTTATCATATTGACTGTCAAAATCGTCTACGAATAGACACAATATAAGGTGGATGACATATTTACGAAGGGTATTACATTGAAAACATAAAAACTTTCAGAGAGCTTGCGGACATGTGGAGAGAACGACGAAGTGAAATACTATAAAAAGTATTTCATTTTATCATGATTTCACGATGGGGGTTATACAAGCACGTGAAAACCGATTTTTCCCCCACCTCCCCAGCCATGATTTATGAATCAATATTTGTTGAACGATTTTTAAAAAAATCATTTCTGATTGGCTCGAACCCCCAGGCTATTTCTTCATAACCAGCTAGCGCTGACAAAATTGGGAGACGTTTCCGATATGCAGTAAAATAATGTCAATAGTGCAGGACATCTGCAGAAAAAGGAACGAAACCATCCCTTTATATCCATGCACATAGGCAACTTGAGAAAACTTAACCATCGATCGAGGTAAATATTTTTTGCCTTGTTTTTTAAGTATGAATAAAAAACAGTCCGGTTGTTTTTTCTGTATTCGAGTACGCGCGAGCAGTCAATCAAAAGGTCTGGAGCGAGGTTGAGATTGGGGTGTGATGCTCGCGCGCTTCGCGCGTGTTACGCTAAACCGATTTTGAGCAAAAAAACCGACTGTTTTGCAGTGTAAAGCATGAATGGCTATGAAAAAAAAATAATAAAGTTTCTGGATTCGGCTTTAGTATAATCCTCGTAATTCTTCAGATTATACTCAGCGTTACTATTAATTGCTGATTTGCAGGCCCTCGTAGTAAGTCTTTGAATCAAAACCGTCATCGTAAGTCATCGCTTCAGTCTTTTCGATTGATCGTATTCCACAATGAGAATACGCAAAAGTTTTGATACAAACCTCTTTTACCGTGGTTTTTGGACTACGCTACATAAATCGGATTACTTTAATTCTAGTAGAGTTCTAGGTATTGCAATAGAATGAACGCCAAAAAAAAAATTGATTTCTAGAGTTTATTCCATTTAATCGTATTCCGGAATACAGTCAATCGAACACGCCCTAACTGAGAGAGGCACCTGATGGAGACACGGTCACACGGATGCTCTTTTCATAATTTGCAAAGTGACTCTAATATAATCATTTATAATCACTACACTGATCAACTTGCGCCTTCAATTGTTTCATTATTTCCGTCGTAAATTTATATTAATCCGTCCGTAAAGTAAAATCAAGTTCTGTATTGGTGAGCTACAATGAAATACAGTAATGATTCAGGGGCACCCAACGAGAACATAGTTCAAAATCGCTTAAACATGCGGGCATTGTTGATCATATTTTAGTATTTAAACGGTAGATATAGGCATATTTTTTTCCCCTAAAAACTTTTTATCTGCTCGGATTTCCTAGCTGAAAGTCTAGTGATCCGAAAATTATAGGAATCAAATTTTACCTTTTCGAAAATTTCAGCCAGAAAAAAGGCTTCCGACAATTCTACGACCTTTTTAGGGTAAAAATCCGTTAAAAAATGGGCAATTATACCATTTTTTAGATGTTCAAAAATCCTAGGAGAGGTAGGCAAGCAAGAAAAATTACAACAAATGCTCCGAAAATTCTAGTTCTCAAATCGTCTTCCGAACAGATATTTTCCAAAAATTGACGTTGGGTGCCCCTGATGATTTTTGAAACTTCTTTTATGGTCTTACTCGATTAATAATCATTCTGACCTGTAACCTCCAATAATTAAGAAATAACATTTAAATTAATGGTATAGTATATTTTTGTGTTTGAAGAAAATAAGCGATTTGACTTGACTCGAAACTTTAGCTTCTATCAGCATCAAAAGGCGTAATAAACAGAGCGTCCCATTCCATAATTATGATCACTTGATCCCCTCTGAATAAGCTCACTCAGTCGAGTTTTCGAAAGGTTTAGCCATCATGGTATATGATTCGAATATAAGCCATTATATCATGCTGTCCAAAATTGTTAATTATGGGTCCACAACTATAGTAACATGCAATGCAAATTATACCCCTTGGAATCTGTTATTATATCCCTGTGTACTGACTATACAGGCCAACTCTTGCCTTGTCGACACCAGAATCATACGGACACCAGCCAAATCCGTTTAAATGGAATAATTTCGAGGATGTAGGCAATAAAGAGAAAAAACGTGCTTTATTTGAGTGTCAATGTTTTTGGGACGAAAGTTACTAATTGAAGACACTATTTTCACGTTCTCTACTAGAGACGGGACCTCCATTTTACCTGGTCATCCGAGCCACACAAGCCGTTCGCAGGGCAAAAGCAGTCTCTTCATTTCTCAGTTATTTTAGGTCTTGGAGTATTGATTCGGCCCCGGGGATCCGCGAACCCACGACATATATATTATGTACCGCTCTGCAGCAGTCAAGCGCTTTACCGACTGAGGCCGCTAACTCTAATCCTACTGGACTCAACTGCAGTTTAAAGGAAGTTAGGTGACACCGTGGTCCTGTGAAAGTGGCCCAGAAAATTGAGTCCTATGATGGCATGTACTTGAATAAGGCTTCTGCCATCTCGGGATAAGATCCTTTTAACCTGCGATCAGGCATGCGCATTTCTTTTTTTGCGAGCTGGCAAGTTGGCGGATAGGTAAAAAGAGAACAAAAGTTTGAAAGGGGAAAAGGACCGCCTAGCTGATCCGCGCTGGTGAGATCCTTTTATGAGATAACGTTGCCAGCTAGCCCGTAGAGCCCGTAGTGGACACTTCATTATGACAGGTCACGCTCACATGTTCACATGAGTTATGACGGATCTGTGACCAAGCTCACTTTTACGCCAGTTTGGGGAGAAATTAGGCGGCAGAGCCACCAGCGCACTTCTCCTCACGCTTTAGCGGCTTTGTCGCCGAAATTTTCCGCGAAGTCCAGAAGTGAGCTTGCTGTCGCCGAAATTTTCCGCGAAGTCCAAGCGCTTGTCGGAAGAAAAAAAATTGATGCAGCACAAATGTAATAAAAAGGCAAGGGAAAAAAAAGGAAAAAATATCCAGGATCCTAGAAAAAACAATTCTTGATGACCAGAAATCACCCACCCCCACCCTCAAGAGTTAAATGGTCGGCCCCTAAAGTGTTAATGTTCGGCAGTTTTTGGAGATAAAAGCTCAGTGCTAATGATTATTTGCAATCAATACATCACAAGCCTCAGGGTAATTAGTTTGTTCATCACTGCGTAAAACTGAGCTATTTGACTTTTGTTTTGTTTTCGATTAAAACAACAAAGAGGGGTTAAAGGTTTGTTCCCTTAATTGCCTTTACGTCCTAATTTTTACCCCGAAAGAGCCAAATAATATTTTATTTTATCGTAGTTTACAGTAGTTTTATAATAGCGCACCGTGGAAGATGAAAAAGAAAATCGATCTGTAAAATTGGTCACACTAACAGGAACGATTTTTCAACGCTTCAGTCTTTCAGTTTGTTTTTGAGCTCCGTCAACACTCGCACAAACAAATGTCCTTTCACGATTGACCCTACTGACACGCTGAAACCTCTCCTGTCTTCTTGAAATATTCAAATCATACTCGACGCTTGAAAAAGGCCCGGGGGACTCACATATTAAAGTGACGGGGATGCTGGTCGTCTCGCTTAGAGGTGTAAATTGCTGATTTTGGTCTCAGTTAGGGTCTTTGGGACGGAAAGTCACTATATTTGCCCATTCAGGTATCGCTTAGGGCTGCGCATAAAGAAATTTACAAAAAATGCCGTGACTTCAGAGAAATCTAGCTCAAGTTTTAAAACAGAACACAACATCGAGGCATTTATCAGGAGCACCCAACGATAATATAGTTCAAAACCACTTAAACATAGCATTGTTAAACGTATTTTAGTATTTAAACGGTAGATAGGCATATTTTTATCCCCCAAAAATTTTTCGTCTCTTCGGATTTCCTAGCTGAAAGTCTGGTGATCCGAAAATTATAGGGATCCTAACCTACCTTTTCGAAAATTTCAGACTGAAAAAAGGCTCCCGAAAATCCTAGGTGACCTTTTTAGGGTAAAACTCCGTAAAAAATGGGCAATTATACCATGTTTTAGATGTTCGAAAATCCTAGGAGAGGCAGGTAAGCAAGAAATTCCACAAAAAATGTTCCGAAAATTCTAGATCTGAAATCGTCTTCCGAACATATATTTTCCCAAAATTGACGTTGGGTGCCTCTGATTTATTTAGATCCCTAACTCTTATTTAGATGTCTATAAGTGATGAAGAGAATAACTGTTTGTTTTTAGACACTTTAAAAACATTTATAAAGATGATCACGTATTCTTCTTTTGCCTCTGTGATGTCTTGATGAGTATTTAGTGTTCATCGGAATCGTGACCCACACTGAGCAATCTGACAGTACAGCTGACTGTATTACGTGACCTCTATAAACCTTGTTTCTAAAGTTTCCCTGGGTTTGCCTGGGGGGGTGGGTAATTTCTTACAAGAGGCTAATGGGGATGTGCCACTGGATGGGGTGGCGTGATCACGACTGGATTGACTATAATGGAGTCGCATTTTCAGTAGAGTTACTAGAATGGGGTCGCACATTTTCGGATTTTTTGGGGTAAGACAGTTCTTCATATTTACGGTTAGCAAACGTACCAAACTGTTTGTACTGTAGATGAAAAGTATGAAAAGTAATTAAAGCGTTCCTCATTCGGTCTAAAAAATGGGTCAATTCATAAAAACAGAGAGTGGCTAAGTTGGAATGGCGAAAATTACATATTTGCCCAAAAGTGAATAAGATGGGGTCTATAAGTGGCCACAGAATGGACTATTATGGGGCAGATAATGGGGTAAGGGCTCTGAGATGCCAGAGGCACATACCTAGCAAAAATTAACTCAAGTACCCCCCCGGAAAATTTACAAGCATTGATTAGAAAACTTCGAATTACGTATTTTAAACATACCGCGTCTTACCTGAAAACCAACTTTGTTGATATTGACTTCTATCAGAGGAACACTTGACGAACCATTACATTGTTGTTCATAATGCGGCCTGGTTCTGTTTTTTAGTGCCTCTCGAGGGACACTTACTTCGACTACCTTCGAGCAAGCTTTCACCGGATTCTTTGGTTGATTAGCGGATTTTACTTCTTTTACAACAAATCTGCTCCCTGTCTTCTTCGTTTTTTCTTTCTTTATCGGCGACAGTTTGATGGTAGCGTTAACGGTAGGGAACTCCATCTTAGAGGGCTAATTTCTTCAGATTATACCTCAGTAGTGAGGGCAGCATGTTTCAGATCCTCTCGCAAACAGATGAAATTTTTCGCTGTCTAAAAACAACAACTGAAAACAACGGAAGAAAATTATGACGTGACTTGTCAAGCATGAAATTAAAAACAGGTCATTCAATCATGGGTGTAAATTCTCCAGTAAGATACAGTGATTGATAATTATCCGAAATGACGTCTAGATCTTTATCACGATTATGGCTGCTGTCTTTACATACACCTGATCAACTGACAGAAAAAAATGTCATTGATTTCTTTAGTTGGTTTGTTTGCAAGTCTTTGACGAAGATCTTGAGGCTTCGTGAGAAATATGCTTGCTTTACGCTCGGTACGTGTGAAATAGTTTTTTATAAGACATTTTAATGACCCTTTGTTTATAGTTATACTCCAGTCCGACTGGCGGATTTCCCGGGTTGAAACTGATATGAAGAATATGAGTCATATCCTGATCGATCAGTCAGCGGTCTGAGTAGTTTGGGTTGAAAGCTGTTGAAGATACCGACTGCCCAGTTTTTGCTACATTGAACCCAACATTCCCATCGAGAAATAATTACACAAGTTTGTTAGTGCTAATATTGGACGAATGGAAAGAATGCTGTACGCTGACTCAGGCTTTTGTTGTCTGAATTCAGAGCCCATACCAGGTGAGGTCTCCTGACAACGATTTGTATCCGTTTTAATCAATTAGTTCTTCTGTGACGGATTTCAAGGGATTTAAGGCACAGCGCTGACGCGAACAGGAAACACATTGCTTCATCAAAAATAGACCGATTTGGTGTTCTATGGCATATCTTTTGTTAAGTTCGCATTAAAAACTGCAGTAGGCGGTAAATAGCATTGTAGATTACCGTAAAAATAATAGTGCTTGGCACATTTGAAAGATCCATTAAAATCGATTGTTCTTAAGTCACGTGATTTTTCTGGTCTTAAGGTACGGTAAAACGAGCGACAAAAACCCCGGGAGGGAGGTACTTCCACGAATTCTTGGTGAGGGTGTGCCGCCAGGTTCTCCAAATCCTGTCCCTATTTCAGACCAAAAAATGTCATTTTTCACATCCTTTTTGAGACCTGGCCTCTAAAATCCATACCCCTTTTCAGACTTTTTCAGACCTGGGGCCCGTTTCTCGAAAGTCCCGATAATTAACGGGCCCGGTAAGCTGTCTCCGTTTACATTAAAGATTGAGGTTTCAATAGTTTTGCATCTAACATGATAAAACTATCAGTAAATGAAACAAAATGGATTCCAGTTTGAAAATTACCGGCGTTTATTCTTTACATTTCGATTTGAATATTTGAAAACCTAAAAGTTACCGGGACTTTCAGAAATCCCCCTGGCCTTTAAGAAATTATGTCAAAAAAATTTCGAAACTTATTTCTTTTTTTTTTACTCATTTGATTGAAACAATAAATTAGTTCGGCACTCCCGTAGTTCCTTCGGCTCAATGCCAATTCCAGAATGAAAATTAGCCAAGTTTATGAAATTTTCAGAAATAAAAACGGCGCAAAAACCCTACCTTTTAGGACGGCACATATCCTATATGGCTTAAACGAATTGATCCATTTCTAAAAACGCGGGTTGTTTCTTTGTTATTAACCAAGTTAGCTGTAGAATGGCCGAAAATTTAGTTGTTAGGCGTAAAAACAAAAAAAGGTGGAAAGTTTTTTACCTTTAGTAATGAGAAAAGATAAACGTAAGAAACATTTGTGGCCACAATTTGTCACGTGTCTTGTCTCGTGCGGCATGGCTGATGGACTTTTTTTCACTCAGTTTTTCTATCCCGGACAGGCTTTCCTACGGATGCTTTATCTAACGAAGAGAAATCAACCGTCAGCTTTACAAAGGCCAAAAAAAAGTTAAACGTAACCCACAATCCCACTGAGAACCTTCTAAGTTTTTTAACATGTGTGTCGCGTTCCCAGTGTCGTAGACGCGTGGCGTTAGGCACTGGAGTTCGCCAGGTCAACCACAGTGAAGCACTAGGCAGTCGGCAAGATTCAATGGCGTTTATTTAAATCAGGCTAGTCCGACTATTTACGGCATTTGAGGTGAAAACTAGAAAGAAACGTGCGATTTTTACGTGAGAAGAAACGAAAACTACAATAATGCTCCGTGCACAAAAAAAGAAGGAAAAACAAACTACTGAATTTACAAGCATGACTTACGCCCGGGGGTACGATAATGCTCGTGATTTTGCGACGCGGTTTCTAAAAAAACGCACGAAAGAAGTAAATTTGAAAGCATTCAAACAGATTGCTTTTAAAGTACTTCACTGAAACCGTTTACACCCTAGAACGGATATAAAAATTGGCCCATTTCTAGACGGGGTTACGTCTGTTCTATAAAAAATTGGCCTATTTCTAGAACGGGGTATCAATTTTAGAAATTTTTTCTAGAACGGGGTGCCAATTTGGAGTCCCGGGCGGCACATAAAAGAATCTTGACCAAAAAGAACTCCAAATCTCCTACAGTTGTAATAACTCCGAAAGTTCTCCAAAAGCTCCTTACACTGTGACGGACTTCTTACAAATGATTAAACGTGCTTAGGAAAAGAATAATCTAATACATGCCTTCTGACGTAAAGGAAATAAAACTGAATAAAGCTTTGTACCCCTAGCCAAAAACGGATATACGACGATCATCCAATAAAATAAACAATGCTACAATCATGAAAGAAAAAACAGTCCTTGAATGTAACTAATTAAAATGTCATATCTCGCTGATGACGAGACAATGTGGAACGAAATTCTAGGACGTTACCATTCAAATAAAACCTCTCTGACAGAACTTGTGCATGGTACTTTTTATTTCTTAGGATTTTACAAACGATATTTGGAATTTTTAAGAATTTCTTCACCTTGGCCAGTATTAGGAATAAAAGGGTTTAAGTTTCTGACAGAATAACTATTGATAATAATAATAACCAACATTTGTATAGCGCTCACTGATAAGCTCTTATACAAATTGTTCTAAGCGCTTTACAATTTTCAACCTATGAAATAAAAGTATATATATTAAATCATAATATACTAGCGCAGCCTTTGGCTGTGGACGAGATGCTATGGTATTGCCATTCAAATGAAACCTCTTGGGTAGAACTGTTACATAGTACTATTTATTTCTTGTAATTCACCAAATTAACTGGAAGAAAAGTGGGAATTGTTGTGAATTTTCACTTACGCCATTGCAGGCTGGCCACTTTTAAGAGGAAGCCGGGTAATAATGCCTCCGTAGAGATGCTCTTTTTCGTTATTATGTATTACATTCTCGAAAAAATAAGGGGACGCTGATCAAAAATTAAGAACAGCTTAGGGGTCCCTGATTATTTCAAGAAAGGCGCTTGATTTAGCTTTTGCGCTTTTGCCAAGGAAATCAATAGTATATGCTCCTTAACCTGAGGCAGTTGCGTTCTGAAACTTTTAATGATTATCTGTTTAATAAGATGCTAAGCAAGTGCGCCTACACTAAAATATTGAATAACTATTTGTACAATAACAGTGAGGCCGACGACTATCCATCAACAAACTGATGTGAGCGGGTTCCAATTATTATAACTCTGTCTTATTATCGTTTATCCAAACTGCTGCTGGCATGTCACTATTTAGGTTCTGACATGACTGATACACTTTGTAAGGCATAACCCCATCCAACTCGCTCGAGCCAGATACTACATATCCCGATATCCGGTTTGGAATAAAATTATAATATTGCGAGTCGTTTGCTGCGAAAGTGTTAACAAGCGGGAACTGAGTCAATACTGAGACAAACTAAGTGTCGCGCTTTCGGGCAAACGGCAAACGTCAGATTCAAGTTGAAAATTTCTCAAAATAGAAAATAAGGAGATAAAAAAAGCTCAAAAAAATTCCAATGTATATAAATGGCGTGAAACGACTAATTTTTGTGTAAAAGTAATGAATAGTAAACAACAAGTAAAGAGAAAAGTTGGTCTCGTGCGGGTACAAATTGCCGTAAACTTCATTCTAAATCCCTCCATTATTCAACCTCGGACCCATATCTCAGGGTCTTGCTTTTTCTAGCCTTCATAAGGAGTTAAAACAAGACTGATCTTGTTTTAGCCACCGTCGAAGGTTTGTATTTCAAACCGAAATATCGGGCACAAATAATCAGAAAAAAAATCATTTTTTTCGGGGTTTCCTTCCTCTCTTCGCTGTGTGCATCGCAGTTTGCAGTTATTTCTTCTGATTTTTCCCAGTTTTTACTTATCCAGATGTTCTTTTTTTTTTCCATCCGGCCTCTGAACTCATTGGTTTATGTCGTGGTTTCGTTTTTCCTCAGAGCTACTCCCTGGGAATGTGTAAGGGATGGGAAAAGCACTGGAGACAAAGTTCTGTTCTTCCCGTCCGTTTTCTCGTAAAAAAAGAAGTTGATGAGAGATACCTTGGCGGAGAGGCTGAGGAAGAGTAAACTCTCTACAAGCCTAACATGAACGGATTTAAGGCGTTGTCATGGGAGCCGGACGCTACCTTTACTGTGGGGAGCGATACGATCACACGATTTTGCCTGTGTTAATGTTTAAAAGCAGAAAGCGCTGGTCTGATCGACTTTCAGTTTTCACGGCATGCCGTGTAAGCGGAAGTCCCTAAATTTCATTACATTTTGGTATCCATTGGCGACCACTACTCCACCGCGACCTTTTGTGTTAAAGTGAGAAGTCTGTGAATTCACGAGATCACCGTTAAGAAAAATTTCAACTCTGCCATCTGAACTGACCTCCACAAGGACATTAAACCAGGTTTTACCAGGTGGATTGCCATTGGGACAAGGAGAGTTACTGCTTCCCACAAAGTTACCGTTTAGCACATAGCCAGACTGGAAGCACGGTGCTGTATTGTGCAGCCTAGGCAAAACAGAAATATAAACTTTAAAATTGATGTCTTAAGTTTAGCACTTTTGTATGATTGAGTAAGTAGTTTTTGGCTTTTCGTGCCCTCTTCACATGGGGACCATTTAAAATGCTGCTTTATTTGTGAAAACGTCAAAATGAGAACTCCTCTACCGGCGAACAGTTTCAAACAAAAATTGCTTTCCAACAAAAATGTTTCTTTTTTTAACAGTATAGAGAATATAGCCACGAATTCATTACGGTCTAAGACTCTATATAAGTTGAGAATGTATCCTTTCTGCATGGCCCCAGGATATCTTTGTTGAAGGGGGAAAAGGCAGTCTGACCCACCCGTTGAAGATGGATTGGCCTCCAAATGAAAATGACAACTATGGGAAACGATATTTTTTCACAGGTTACTAACCTAAAGTAAAAAACATCAAAGTTGTCCTCGTCCACAGCGTTATACATAACTCCAAGGTGACCGGAATCTACTCCGTCCCATGCGATCACATTGTACAAGTCAACATTTATAGTGTACGGGTCTCCAGCATTTATCTCATCCATTCGAATCACACGACAGAAGCCATCCGCCGCCCAGGAACCATGGTTAGCGTCCATTTCATAGCTGCTTGGTCCTAGTTGGGTGAAACTGGCACAACTTACCACTGTTGGAGGGTCCTCTGCAAAGACAAACATACTGTATACAGCATTTGAGGGTTGGTCATTAACTCTCAACTGTCTCCAAAAACTGTCCTCACCAGCAGGTGTTTTCCGAGCAGCACTGACGCGAGCCTGACTAGAATTCGCTCGGGTCGTGGTACACGAACCACGGGACGAAGGGAAGTGGATGGAGACGGAGGACATAAAACTATTCATTGGGCTAACGGTACCGTCTTCTTCCAACGTGTCTTAGAAAACTAACACAAGACAGAAGTACAAGACAGAACCATCTTTCCCTGAGTGGCATCCAACAAAGTTTTACACGGAGACGCTCTGCCCCAAGGTCCAACTACTTACCCTTAGTTTTATACACCATTATTGACAGAAAAGATACCCCTTTTGTATAACTTTTATTGGCAAATGGTACCCCGTTCACATACGAGTAAAGGACACTACATCCTTTTTAACTGCTGTAATTTCACCGTCTTTTTAATATGAATAAACAACTAACCCAGCAAGTTTTCTAGTATTTTTTTTCACGACCAAAAATGCGCTTATTAGGCCTTTTAAGTCCCTGAGTCTCACAGACCGCGATGACAGATTTCCCACCCTTTGACATTCTTCAAATAGTGAAATACTTACTGACCCTTTCATAAACCTAAAGCCTGAAAACGGTACCCCTTTCGGGCGGAGCCTCCCCGTATGGGCCATTATATAGGAAGTACACCCATAGGCATCCCCCGGAACTACAACAATTTCTTTTTTTTTCTATGGACAGTTTACATCATATAACTCTATGCTATTTTCGTGAGTCACGTTTTCTAAAAAAGCCATTTTCTCAAGTTGTGCCAAAATATCCATGAATCTCAGCCGTTCTAATTGATGCCAAGAATCTTAAAATCTGATACTCATACTTAAAACATGCACAAAATGCTAGCCAAAAATAAGCGACCAATCACAGTAGTGCACAGAGAAAATCTTACAAGCAAACTCTATTGTAAGAAGTGTTTTCTCAAGTAAAGTGAGCACCTTCCTCTGTCCTCCCTTTCCAGTTTTCTCTTCGTTTAGGGCGAGCTTTCCCCCTCTCCCCAGCTTCCCAGTGGCCGGTGGTAGCAAGGGGCCTCCATGCGAAGTCAGCTCGCAGGCTAAGGTAGAATTAAGTAGACCCATACCTAGTTCACACTTTCTTCCATGGTAACCTGCAGGGCAAAGACAATGGTATCCATCGGCACCGAATCCTAGCCGACAGGTTGAATGGCTTGAGCAGGGGTTACTTTGGCAAGAATTCTGAAAGAAAAGTGGGAAATATTCTGACTAACAAACATCATTATATCTCAACGGAAAACAATTTCGTAGCGAAGTGTACTTACAAATACTGGCCGGTATATAAAGCCAATTCTTGTCTGCATCGCATCAGGAACTTGGGCATGGCTTCTGTTGTTCAGTTTACACAGAAGTGATCCATCATTTTGTTGTCCGAAGTTAAAGGAGACACACTCAGGCTCCAGGAAACACCGTACCTTGCACATATCTTCGTCCAAAACTTGCTTTTGCTGTATCACATAATTGCTAAGAGCCTTGTTAGCTATTTTCTCAGTGAATTGTATTACTCGGCATTCTTCTAGAGCTAAGTCAATAAAAAATAATGTTATTCTTTTATGATTTAATTCGAAAATAGATGATGTATCAGGGGCACCCACGACAATTTTCGGGAAAATATCTGTTCGGAAGACGATTTGAGATCTAGAATTTTCGGAACGTTTGTTGTAAAAAATGGTAAAATTGCCCATTTTCAACGGATTTTTACCCTAAAAAGGTCACCTAGAATTTTCGGGAGCCTTTTTTCTGGCTGAAATTTTCGAACGGGTAAGATTTGATCCCTATAATTTTTGGATCACTAGACTTTCAGCTAGGAAATCCGAACAGATGAAAAATTTATAGGGGATAAAAATATGCCCATATCCACCGTTTAAAAGCCAAAACACGTTTCACAATGCTATGTTTAAGTGGTTTTGAACTATATTCTCGTTGGGTGCCCCTGATGTATGACCTAACCGGCTTTTATTCTGAGAAATATATCTACTTACGGAGAGTTTAATCGCAATAAGGAAACTGATTAGGCCCACTCGTTTTTAAGAAAGGCCTTGTGTTGTTTTAGAAAACTGGCTGCAAGTTTGCACCCAAAGAAAAGCTACCAGCTTTGTAAACAATTTACAGGAAATTGTTTGACCTTGTGAAAATATACTAAACCTAATGATCGAAAAGTTTTATTTGAAAGGTTGATGTTATTTTTGCTTTTGGCTCTTAAAAATGTGTTATTATACATAACGTCGACTTATACCTTTTCACCGCAAGTTCGGCTAATTTCTGGACTACATATCCAGACACGATGATTTTTTATGTTTTTTTTTTTTTAATAGCATCCCTCTCTTGGCGTTAAATGGTTCAAGAAAGGAATAACTTAGTCAAGTTAAACCAGAAAACAATCATTACGCCCAAAGTCATATCCGTATGTGTTAACATCAAAGCCGAACGTTCAATAAAAAGAAAAGTAAACAAACCAGTGATCTGATTTGAGCTTTTTTTTTTGTATAAACAAATTAATTCCAGCTGACACAATCATTCAGCTTGAGGGCAGGTGTCTCGATTGCGGCAGAAGCCAGCATGCGCTTCTAGTTTCTTGACAAACCCGTCAATGTCAATGATTTATTCTTAATATAAACGAACTTCACTCTTGCAACTTTTTAAAGAGGCTGAATGGATCTGAATACTGCAAGGGATTAGCTATGGATAACATAACTACCGATATTTCAAGCAAAGCCTAACCAGTTTAATAATTTATTTACTGTATATTCAAGTCCTTATCTTGTGACTCCTAAAATTTGTTATTTTTAAGCAACTTTTTTTAAGCTATCTTATTTCTCAATAGCCTGAAATTCATCCGATTGCTTCGAGTCGTTTTCTCCTCTCAACAACTGAGGGAGTAATAACGACTCGAAGTAATCCGATGAAATTCAGGCTAATTTCTCAACTGGAAGAACTCGTTTAAAGGTCTCTGTAATCTCTTTCTTCTTTCACTTGATTTTTGGCTACTCGATCAAGAAGAAGAGAAAATTTGCTCTGCTCACATGCTGGTAATTTTAAACAAAACAAAAGTAAACAAATTAAAAAAAAAAAAATAATATAAAGTTAGAGTGAAAGACGTTTTGTGTCTTTATGCGACCGGAACAAAAAAATCTTATGTGGGCCCAGTTTTAACGGACTACAACAAACAGCACCACAAAAAGTACCAATAGTCACTTTTTCTCAATACGAATAGTTACAATTCAGTCGACAAGCTCAAACAGTCTTTCACTGTTCCAGCAGTTATTAGAAGAGGCTTCAAGCTTCCTGAGGCAGATAGTTATGAATTGTGATTTCATACCTACCTCCTTTTGCAGAGGAGACGCAGTTGATGAACACAATAGATACAAGAAATATTGAAGGAGAGGACACTCTCACTGTTATCTTAGAGGAACCTTGGGAGTATCTTTCAGAGCGATATTGCATTGTTGAAAATCAGAAAAAATATTGCTGGCATCACACTAAAAGTTTAGACTTCGCCGCTAATCGACTACCTAATTTGCTGAACAAGCCTCTGAACTTATCATAATGGAAGACTTTGTAACAATGCCCATGTTTTGTGTACTTGTTTGATTGATTTTTCGAATAATTAAAACATTGGCTTAATAAAGAACTTGCAAAGGTACCGATTTATCACCACCAGAAGGCAGATGACAATATCTTTTGTCAAGCTTTGATTGTTGTTCGTGCTCGAATTTTTAGACCAATCAGTAATCTCTTTTCCTGAGACAAGATTAATTCAATTCTAAACTTGTTACCTGGGATGAAGAGTTTCATAGCTGTATGTAGATAAACATATGTGGGCAAATGTTGATGTGGAGAAGTGATCATAAGTAAATATTATAAATAAAGTGACAAGCGTAGAGCGTCATACGAGCTTGATAATTTTCAACTTTATTTTTCATATATATATACAGTCACACTATACAACAATTCTGTTCTTCAAACAATGCTTAGATATGTCAGTCGAATAAACTGCAACGAAACCTAGTATTTATGTTGACTTCTGTTGAGATATGCAATTCTTAAATTGGTGGGAGGCTGAAAGGAATGTCGGGAAATATAGGGAGAGGGAATATTGATTAATAAAGGAGGAGATGGTGTGAGACTGGGAGGGTGTAGAGATTTTTCAAGGAGAATGATTGGGGTGATTACTTTAAATAATCAAACCAATGTGTGGAAATTACTCAAAATGGGGATTATTGATCAGAGGGCGGCTATTATATTACGAAATATGGCAATTCCGTTTTAGGGATTCGATCGTCTAGTGGCCTCTTAGTCGATCAACATATCATTTTATTAGTCCTTTCTTGATGTCCAACTTCACAGGTTACTGAAATACAGGTCACTTTATGCTCAGTGCTGAGATCTGGAGGATGAAATAATATAGTAACATTTCTATTATGTTCAGTTGGAAAGTGATGAATTTTATGCTTGGACGATTGAGTGTGGAGTAAGAATGGAGAAACTAATTCTGTAGCTTCTAATCTCATAGATGGCCAAAAAAATCTTTTATCCTGGAGCAAATAATCTTTTCATACGATTTAGACTTTTCAGTCGGGTTTGTATGATTAAATATAGGTTGCAAATTTAGGTTTGGAGTGTTCAAGAGGTGACCTTTTAAAGGTCTGTGAAATTAAAACTCCTTCACAGGACAGACTGGTAAGAGTTAATTTATCTGCGTTGTTCTATTTTATACTTAGTTGAAGTTTTATTTGCCTTTATACCAGACAAATTTTCAGAAATTGCCGCACCCAAACACAAAGGGAAAGAAAATTTAAACCTAGTATGATATCAAACCACAACATCATACTTAATTTTAGCACTTGTAGAACACGCATTATTAGTACTTCATGGCCACCTGAACGCGTGGAGAAGTGCTGGTTCATCACCTGTTGGTCTCCTGCTTTGAACCTCAACGACGTGAAATAATGGTATTGGTTTTTATCTGTTTAAATTTCACTCTCATTCTGTTTCACTAAGAACAGTACTAAAAGCCAGTCGTACCCTCTCAAACATCCACTTAGCACTTTGAACAAGTGCTGGACAAAGTAATATAAATTAACGAAGTCTGAGAGGAACTCACTAAGGTTTCTTGTTTGTCACGTTCCTTTTCTCCTCTAAACCCCGCAACAGTGTCAGACATCAAAACAGCGGAAAACTTTGTCTGTGTTCCTCGATGACAACTGTCGCTTCTGCACTCGGACTTGGTATCGATGCTATCACATTTGGCTGAACCACTGTTTTTCCCAGCGTCTTGGGCTTTTGTAGAGGAGGAAAAATCAGGCATGTCCACTTGTCCTACGTCAATCTCACGCTTACCAAGGCCATTCGGCCCAGTTACCTGGTCACCGATGTCCCCTTTCATGTCAATCAGAGGAAGCAATAGTGCTACGCAGCAAGAAACAGAACATTGCGGGTTTCTCAGCCACTCCTTAACGTACTGATAAAAATGCACTGCGTACTGAACTGAAAGATGACGGATATAGACTAAAATAAGCTAAGGTCAAAAGGTTTAATTTGGAAAGATAGTCATGATGAATTCACTTTAGTTGTGTACCAAAATACTGCAAAGTTTCAGGCCAAAAATGAATAACGCATTTTTAGTGTTTCGTTCCATCCAACACGAGTATAATGGGCCTGTTTACAAGGAAAGAGGGTTACCCTTGTGCTAGGGTTACCGTAGCAAGCGGCTTAAAGTTAGCCTGGTTAACAAGCGAATTTCACAGGTAGGGTTACCCCTATCACCCGTCAGCTTTATGCGGACGTCTTTCGTCATGCGTGACTTTTTTCGTAACGGTCCAAGATTTGAAATAGTCTGGGAGTTCTTCTCCTCGCTCTTTCTTTTTCTCCCTTCCTTCGTTACTATGATTTGGGAGCTTCTCGGGCTTAAGAAACGTGCCTTCTAACGCTTTTTCACTCAAATGACTGCAAATTTCATTAGGTTGGTTGTCAAAAAATCGCCTAGACATATATGTCCATATATGTACGTGACATACCGCGCGCTATATGTAAAAATGAAATGAAGCAATTGAGATATATACATGTAGATTTGGTAAGGGACGTTTCAAGTGGTATCTTGCGGCAGAAACGCGTTAGTCTCGTTTCAGTGAAAGCTACTTGAACTGTGGACTTAATCTCCTCTTTTGTCTTACCAGCAAGAAGACCGATCACCAATGTATTTGCTCCAATCACCAATATCTTAAATAACATTGCATCACTGTAAGAGTCGTCTGATCCTGGAACGTTTTCTGCGGGAATCCTGCTCACAGCTCCAATGCCTAAGTTAACAACTGTAACTGCAATGGATGTTACCATCAGTCTGTTTTCAACAACGTCTTGAATGGGACTGACGAAGGAAAATACTACTCCATACATCCCAGCGATTACCCATGCTAAGCCGATATAAGACCTGTTTCTTGTCCAACAAGTATCAGACCAGATGTTAAAATAACTTTTCGGCACATTTCAACCAGTTCCCAATACCACGAACGAGCTTTGTAATTTTCAAAGAGAAATCGTAAACCAGTGATCATTTCCGACTTGGACACTAAATCGTGTGGTGTATTTGCACTTTCAGCTGTTACTATTCCCCTTTGCTTCCAAAGGGCGATAAACGAGGCGGTGGGCAGAGCAAAGAGGTAGGCTGTAGAAATATACGCCGCGATGGCCATTCTTTTATACTTTGGACCTGTGCACTGGATATTGTAATCTGATTTAAGGTACACAGAACAGAAACTTTCTCCTGTATCTCGACAAATTTCTCGGCAAGAAAGAGGCAGAACAGTAGCTGTTTTAAAACAGGTGCTGAGATAAGTGACATACAGAACAAAAAACAAATTCTTGTAAACGAGTTCTTTCGTCTGAGAGATTTCGCTCGACTTTCCTTCCGAATTCAGGCTTCCATTTTTTAAGATTGTTATCTTTCGCACTCCATAAAACACGATAGAGAGAGCAATTGCAGCAGCATTTATCACCATCATTGCAAATAGATTTGCAAAGGCGTCCACTTGTAAACCCGAGATAAGACACTGAACTGGTGCAATCTGAAATGCGTTCATCTGAAGTATTTCTGAATATCTGCCAATGATCTCCAGTGAATCTGGCCATTTTATGAAGGAAAATGCTTCCAGTATACCGTATGTGACTTGATAAAAGCCAATTACAATCTTCAGTTTGGAAAAAAATGTATCTAAGAACGTGTGTTCTTGAGTATTTTTAACTTTCCTTTTACTTGACCAAGCCAGAAATGCAACGATTGCCATCAAAACGCATCCCACGATCGTCAGCTGCCCGATCATCCACTTCTTTGTGGGACACTGTTTGCATGTTTGTAGTTGTTTAAAATATCCAGAGCTACAAACTGAACATAAAGGTCCTTCGTAGCCTTTCTCACATTGTGACTCTAAACCTCCCTTGCAAGACTCCTTCCTGGGACACATATAAGGTGTTGGGATCGCGTATGGATATTGAACATCATCAGGGCCCAGTGCCGGTACTGATGCCAACAGGTTTCTAATGAACTCCTTGTAGCGATAAATATGTGTTTTGTTCCTCCATTCCCACCAATAACCAGATTTCAAAGAAGCATAGTCATCTTGGCATGCCAGACCACCTTGAAGTCCGCATTTTCGACATACACCGAACATATCTGTTCTGTAAAAACCCTCCAAACATTTACAAGCACGGTACCCAGCAAAGAAATCAGTCTCTGTTCCTGTGGTTGTGTTAAACAAACAAACCATCAAACAGTTATATACGTTATTGATTTTAAATAGGAGATTTGTTCAAGTAAACGTTGCTTGACCACATATGAATAGCCGAGATAATGGATCGCAAATGGGATCAGCCTTTTCAACCGTTGTCTGAAAATTTAGGCTTAATTTAGTCATGAGCATGAATCGTTTAACTAGCTTGGCAAACAAAAGAGAAATGAAAACTTTTCGAGAGTAAATCTTATCTTTTGTGATTTCTAGAGTAAATAAAAGAATAATTATTTCACCATGGAATATTTAACAATTATTGAATTCGGCTTTCGTATCATATGAAGAATTATGAGGGTGTTATAACACCCTCCTCGATCTCCATAATTCTTCATAAGATACTCAGCCTCATTCATTAATTGTGAATTATCCGTGTGCCTTTCGCCAATCAGAATCGGGGAAATATTTTGAATGAATAATAACAGGTCTTACGTGGAATGGAATACACGCGCTTTTGATGAACACTTTCCTTGTTCGGATTGTCATAGTTACTGTAACGCACCTTGAGGGCATGACTTGCAATCCTGACTTTGTGTTCCGGGAGCTTTATCAAAAGCCACAAAGGACCCATCAGGACATTTCTTGCAGTTTTCTGCAACATAGCCTACCTCGTCGGAGAAGAAACCACCTGTTAATAAAGATGAAAATAAATGGTATTATACCACTACATGAGAAATTTCTGCAATTTGATTGGCTTAGAGCAGTGGTATTTCAGCTTAATTTGAAATACCTACATGTGAAAATTACAAACCATTTGTTGGTAGTAGTATAAACAAATAATAGCATGATTTGTACGTGAAATTTGGCATAAATACCACTCGTGATATTTCAAAATTGTCTCAAATTTCACTCGCCTAACGGCTCGTGAAATTACGTATAACAATTTCGAAATATCACTCCTGGCATTTATGCCAAATATCACTACAAATCATGCTATTACCTATACCAATACTTCGTTCATTTTTCTAATCCGAGTTTTCTTAGGTTCGTCTAGTTTCAACAGGTTTGAAATTGCGGTGCATGGTACATTTTTGCTAATCATCTGGAACAAATTCTGACGTAAGTCGTTTGCCAGTTACCGGCCACATGGACCAAATGGCCCTTATTTCTTGAAGAGGAAGATCAAGTGCTAGTTCAAGTTTAATTACAATTGGTGGTATTTACACACAACAGCTAAATTACACCAGAGTCCTTGATTGACTGACTACACATAAACCATCGAAGCATACCCGGCGGGCAAGGGGTACATCCTTGTCTCCCCTTTGAAGTGGAGTTAGAAAATGTTCCAACAGGACATGGCTGAAAAATGTAGTAGTCTGAACGATTATCAGTCCGACGGAATCCCGATGCCATCAGAGCGACCATAAGATAAATGCTCTTTCGTGACAACGGAGAGGTGATTTTGACAGCTTGAGAGTCAGAGCTTAGCGGATTCCTGAAAAAGACAAAGAAACAGTGCTTAAATATCCGTAACGATCATAATATTGTAGCATATCACCTATGGTATCATCTCCCCTCGGCGTTAATAGTGTATAGTAGGATTTATAACAGAGTTAAATGTTTCTGCGCATGAGAAGCTCTAAACTTTTGGCACAACCGTCGTCGTCAAAATGTTGGCCGAAATATTTATTTTCCTTCCTTTGGAAGAACATGCAAGATTGTTGATGGGGGCTATCGACCTGTGCAAGTGAGTGCTTTTTTTTACTTCAGTGCATAAACAACAACTTTAATTTTTTTTACGCGGGGTATAACCTCACTGTTTAAGAGCTCGAGTGGGTAACCTACTGCCCTCTTTCCTCAAGGCCGTTTATCTTAATTGTAACAACAACTGAAATGTGAGGCGAGCAGACAAACTAAGTTCATTTGCAAATCCTTGGAGCTAGGGTCGTCATATCTGTTTTGTAAGTAGGTGGTCGCCCGGAGCGACTTTAGGAAAATGAATTTTTTAAAGCAGGAATTCTGAGTTAAAAAACCCGGCTGAAAACTGAATCTGACACCAAACTGGTCTCAGATCTCTTAATTTTGGTGCAAAATCCCGTATCATTATTTTTCCAGATTTAACCTAATCAACAAAATGAGAATCTTTGGCATTGCGACAACACCTATACCAAAAATAAAGGAAACTTTTAAATCTCACTTCCAGCATCACTACTTACAGGTATATAGAGCAGTGCTTGCTACCAGAGTAATAGTTCAATGTTCCAAGCGTTCCATTCTTTAGCTCCCTGAAAATAGGTCATAACTATCCTTTAAGCATTTGGAGCAATCACTTGAAAGAATTTGTCCTTAATCCGCTTTCATACAACTCAGGGAGTACATTTTCGCTAATATAATAAAATGAAAATGGTAAAACCTGTTATCACAGTCAACTCTCGTTATACATCTTAATAGAGAGGTTAGCTTCACGTTTACGTCAAACGGCAAACGCGAATTTGTACCACTGACCAAATTTCTCATTTTATACTACTACATGAGAAATTTCTGCAATTTGATTGGTTTAGAGCAGTGGTATTTCAGCTTAATTTGAAATACCTACATGTGAAAATTACAGACCTTTTGCGGGTAGTAGTATAAACAAATAATAGCCTGATTTGTACGTCATATTTGGCATAAATACCACTCGTGATATTTCAAAATTGTCTCAAATTTCACTCGCCTAACGGCTCGTGAAATTACGTATAACAATTTTGAAATATCACTCGTGGTATTTAAGCCAAATATGACTACAAATCATGCTATTACCTATACTAATTGTCGATTTCTGTTTATTTGTTCTATAAATAAGTAGTTTCACCCAATTTGTTTTCCATAGGAATTGTTTTGAGCAGTTTTTATCTGCTCATTTTCTACTTTGAAAAATTTTCAGCTTGAATCTGACGTCTGCTGTTTGCCGTATACGTGAAGCTTAAACTCTCTAATGACCTACATAGCGAGGGAATGAATGTGTTTCAGTTAACCATCTGTAAGTTATTTTTGGCAAGGTGTCCGCAAGGCGACAGCAAAGTTTCGCCGGTCTTTCACTCTCGTTGCTCACCGTTTCCTCGTTCTTTCCTCCAAAACCGCACGGAAACGCTTGCTACGCAGGCTACTCTAGTCAGTTTATTTAACTAATTTATTTAACTAATTTATTTGACTGGACTGGCTGAGCGTGTAGGTCAGTAGCACCGTTTCATAAGATAGTAGGCCATTTGTCCCTTTCATATATCTATTTCATTTGCAACGATTTTCAATACTATCTAATCATTAATTCCTTTTTTAGCAAAGATCCAAGCGAGCCCAATTGCTAAAACAAATTGGTTATCTATCCACCCGAGAAATTTTGGTTGTGAGGTCAGCGTGCGCTCACCCAAACGTACCTACTCTGGGGAAGGGGGAAGGGAGTTCGAAAACAGCCCGACTGCCACGGAGGTAGATTGCGCTTTTTTTGGCCGGGGATCTCGCTTTTGGACCAGGTCCGCCCTGTCCTGGACCATGGATAGCCCGCGTTTTTCTTGGCGGGAAATAGTATGACCCTCGTCGCTTTGAAAAAGAGGTTTCTTTGTTTTACATACTTTTCACAAAAAAGCGATTTACAGTGCTAAATTTGAAGCTTAATTGCAAAATCATTGCCAGTTATGTCAACAAACGAGAGCAAAGTAAATATAACGTGCGGAAGAGAGAGTTTAGGTGATGAGCAACGAGAAAGAGAACGGCAGAGAACATTTTTGGCGGTAAATCGCATGGCCACCCGAACTTTTAAAGAGTAAGAAACAACAACAAAGCCGGGTCTTTCTTTCGACCAAATTCAAATGTCAACATTAACGTGGAAAAGAGAGAAAGAGCTAAGAGCAAGAAATAAAAAACAACAGAGGAGACCAATTCCGTTTGTAGAAAAACATGAAAATGTCACAGCTGCGGTGAGAAAATGAGAAATGCTACCGGCCATGCACCAAGGGGAAAATGGGCGGCAGTGAAAAAAAAGGTGAACAGGAATACATACATGTTTCCTCAATAAAACGTGTAAGTGGGAAATTTCTGGAAGTTTCACGTTGTAGTCGGGCAAAGCAACGACAGAGAAATGTACAAAAAAGTGTGCTGTACGTGCAAAGTTGTATTTTCTTAGACCTTTTTTTTTATCATTCTCGTCGTCTTCACCTTTTCTTTAGTATTTCACGATTTTATGTTTTGTTTGAGTAAACTATTAAAGGGAACCTCCACTCTTACTACAGAATAAGTTTAAATCGAATAAAATTATGTTGATAAACAAATTTGTTCGAAATTTGTCTTAAAAAAAGTGTTTATATCAGGAAAAGTGAATTTTAAAATCGCTTATTTTCACTTTCAAATTTCGCGGGGGCCGCCATCTTGAATAATTGTGACGTGTTACGGTTGCTCTATTGCTCTGACACAAAGAGCTTTTGTTTAATAACAATAGGGCAACCATTACACGTCACAATTATTCAAGATGGCGACGCCCGCAAAATTTGAAGACAAAAATAGGCGAATCTAAAAGTTATTTCTTTCGGATACAAACGCTTTCTTTAAAAATATTTTAGATTTACTTGACTGTAACAGTTATTTCCTGTGATTTAAAGTTATCTTTTTGTTGAAGAGGAGGTTCCCTTTAATAGGGAGAGATTCGCTTTTAGCCCCGGCTAAATCTATATCTTTGCATGATACGTCACAGTTGCGAGTCTAGACTTCTGAATCCAGCGAAGGACTGAATGTTTAATGTCTTCAAATTCATCCGTAGCAAATATCTGTCATAAGAATATACGGAAAGGGAAATTATCAAAACATTGTACAAAACTAGCTTTTAGAGTGATTTTACTTAACCCGTGAAATAGGTAGTAGTCGAGTATACTACGCACTATTATGCACTAATTCTATTGTCTTCTGTTGTTTATTTGTAATTAGCTCAGACAAGTTGTTATCTGTTTCACGGCTCAAGTAAAATCACTCTAAACCTTGGAATACAAAGGTAAGTTTGTGAGTAGACCTAAAATTTGCTTTTGTTTTGCCACGTGGGACGCCGGAATATATTGTTAACTAGAATGTGCGTTTTATCTGCTATCACTTCATACTTTGGGCCGCTTTGGGCCTTTCCAAAAGTCAGAACAAGACCAGGGCAAACATGGTAAATGACACATTTGCTTAGGACTTATTTACACCCCGTGTAAATTGGTATGCAAAATATAAAGTGTCATTTACCATCTTTGCACCAGATTTACTCCACAGTTTTTGTATTTTTGTAACACATTTCGGACAAGCAAATTTGTGCAAATCCATTTTTTCGTCCAGTCCTGGCAAATGGTAAGCGCCCTTAGAAACGCAATAACGGATCTTTCAGGGATATTTAAAAACGCCACGAGCTAGTATTCAACGTCACCCGAGCATTCGTAAATTCCAGGTCATGTCAGTCAATTGAAAGCAACGTTCTGAAGGTCCCTTCGATCGATCGCTAGCAAACGTATGAAGCAGCCGTATTTGACCGAGCCCAGTCAATGCAGGAACAATCTTTCATAGCTAAGTAGACTGACTATAACTCCGAACAAGCCACATCATTCTGGCAAAAACTAGACTTAACAGGTTTAATTTTATAACTCACATGTTCAGCGATGAACTTCCAAGTTTAAATGCCTCTGTTTCGATCTTTTGTGTGGGATTATCCGTCAGCATGCTAAAATGAAATTTAACATTACAGTTATTACCCGAGGAATATCTGCGTTTGTATTCACTCCTAAATGCACTAGTGTAGATACTGAAACGAATTTCTAACTTTCGGACGAACGGTGAGGCCATCCAAAAAAAAGCCTCCTCCGCAGAAATTTCCCACAGTTCTGGAGCTCGGGAAATTTTTCTGAGCTTTCTTACGCTTGATTTCTCTTTTCCATTGGATTTTACCCTTAGAGCGGACTACTCTGACGAGGTTAGGGGGAACTACCCACATATCTCGATTTCACTTACACTCTCTCCAGCATCGTCAGCTTGTAAAACGCCCGGTATGGAATGATTGGTATTTGGTTGGCGCTAAGAAATCTTAAGAAACAGAACGAATACTCAGGATCAATGTGCTCTTAGAGGTAGTAGTTGTGAACTTATTAAAGTTTATCTGAAGAATCTCTAGGGCATAGCACTAATTGGTGACACAAAAAAGATTAAGACATAACATGAGAAATATATACAATGTAAAAGCTAAAAGGTTAGTTCTTTTTAAACATCAAATTCTAAAGTAATTTATGTTATTGATAGAGTAGTAGATTCATCTTTGCCTTAATCATGGAAATAGCTACTTGGTGAAGTCCTCTGCTAGCAAGCAGGAGGAACTCAGCTCGTTTAGCAGGAGACAAAATCATTGTTGTAAACTAGCTGAGGGTTCCCTCCTGTAGACTTTTGAAACTTTGTTAGCCAAATATGGTAAAAAAAAGTCTAACAACCTGATTGGTGTTCTCCATAATAAAGTGGCGGATCCACAAGGAGGGTGGGGAGGGGTAGACCCTGTCATACCTACTTGGTTCAACTAGTTGATTTTTTTTTCCATTTATAAAAGCGTGTTACATTTTGGCACCATTAACAGTTTCAGCATATTCAAAACTGTAGTTTTGGGGGTTACCCTCCAATGGACTGCTCGTTTCAGCTCGCAAAGTAGTGATGCCCGACCGGCGTGCAGTTGCTAGTCTCTCAAATTGCTTTCAGAAATTGAAGTCGATATGGCGACATCTCCACCTATAACCTCGTTCTTTCAGCCTGTCTGAACTAGTAAAATTCAAAATGAAACAGTTGATGTTGAAGAAGGTGGAACTTTGGAATGGATGCAAGCTATGGATTTCATTTCCTCAAAAACGTTGGCTGTCTTTAGTGTTGAAATGCAGAAGTATTTCAGTTAAGTTCACTGATTTTGATACCGAAGTGGAAAGTTCTGTTTCAAATGGGATTATCGAAGGTAAATGTTGTATAGAAATGGGGTTTTAGTGTTTTTATAAGTGTACGTAAAATACTAAGAAGTAAGTAAACTGCCGATATTAAATTAATGAAAGCGTATGATTACGAGGTGGAGGGGTAGCTGTGAGCACCGTACTACGGGGGATGAGGTAATTTGCCGCAAACAATATTTCAATAGTGTTTTCTGAATCAAAGCTTGGACAGCCACCCGGCCCCTTCCAGAAATTGCTGTTGTTTTCTCTTAAACTGCATGCCAAAAATAATTTCATCCTCGCCCTTCCAATCCCTCCTTTATTCGTGTTTAAATTTTGGTCGTAGCAAATTAAATAATCACTGCTGACAGAGTCAGGTATCTGGTCACGATCACAACAGTCACATTTATCTTACAGATATTTTAGTTCGGTGAGAGAAGCAAAAGTGTCCGTTGTTATAGAAGCGATCCTGTTATTCCGAAGAAATCTACAACAGAAGTAATTTACACCAATTTGGCTGTTGAGGCGACATGAGACAAGATGAAACGGCCACAAAGGACATGAAGATGCATGGGTGAAACACCAACATGGACATGGCCGACTCCTCAAAACGGGAAACAACCGCAT